GAAACTCACTCTTACTCCCTAAGTGTAACTCATCCACTCTTTTGCGCTCCCCTCTCTTTATTGCTTATTCTGTTTGGCTCACTCTACCCAGAGAAGTTAAGGACCTGACCTCACTCCGCCTGTTTAAGATCCGTGCCGCCCCTTATTTACTACGACATGCATAGCTCATTATCCACATGTCCTTTGCGTCTCTGTGTTTTTCACTGTTTTTATTTGACATTATCTTTCTTTACGGAGTTGTTGTTGCTGTTCGTTTTGCTACTCTTTCTTTTTCCCTCCCCTTATTTCTATTTATCGCCGTGGTTGGCAATCACCCACTCTCGTAATATTGGCCGGTGTTTCCGCCGAGTCTTGAGATGTTGCAATAAATAAATAAAAAATAAATAATCTATCATGTTCCTCACTGGTTCTCCGTTGGATCTGGTCAGTCCATCCGCGAATCAAGTAGCTCTGTGATGGAGGCGGTGTTTGAATAGGGTGTTGCACAGCACTAGTTGGTAGTCCTCGCAAATCTCAAGAAGCCGCTCTCCATTTGAATTTGATACTAAGTGCTTGGCATGGCATAGCTACCAACGGGGCCCTGGGTCCCGTTTCTTGAACTGCCAATTTTTGCATTCATATCTCCCAACACCCAAACTTCATCTCGCTGCTTGGGTACGTCTTTGACAATACTACTCAATAGTGAATAGAAGTTCTCTGCCTCTGCGGGGTTTGACGTGGAACTCCGCAGAGTCGGCGATTAGCAGCATATCACTGTGATGGACCTGCTGTCACGGCGCGAGCAGAGCTTGATTCTGATTGACACGACTCGCTCCGAGTGGCACTGATACGAGGCAACTCTTATTATATAAATTTTACCAGAATTCCGACACCAGCCCGAGACGACGCCCCCCCCCCCCTGCGCGATCAGGGTATGGCCGTTGTCTAGAACGTCGACTCCATCACCACTCAGCCATGTCTCGGTAAGGCCAAGCACGTCGAGACGATACCGTTCAAAATCCTGGATAATATTGACTTTTTTTATTTGACTTCGGAGCGAACGAACATTGTACGTTCCCGCTCTACACGAAGGTGCTGTTTGGCCTCGGCTCACAAAAACTGAAGCAGCTAAGTGCTGCTTTCCCTACTCTGTCTAACTGTATTCTCATTTCCAGTCTCTTCCACCCATGGAACAAGAAAACCCTTGGCGAGGCGAGAGCTGTCATGACGGGACTTCAGACCGCCACCCGTACCATACCACGGTATTATATTTGACACTGCTCCGTGAAAGGGCCTGATCTGTAAATGTAACAGATGTGTAATGTTTAGGGCGTCAAAGGCCAAAAGTTCACCGTCCAGAGTTCGTTAAAGGGGAAGTATACCCTGAAATCAAATTTCACCAGTTGTAGTCTTCGGGGTGCTGAGTTGAATGGTCTTGGTCCGAGGAAGCTGAGACGCTCCCTTCCTCCTTTATTCCCAATCGAACTCGCGCACTTCCACCGTAACTGGGTGACTGCGCCCTACTAGATGGGGATTTGTATGCAAAATGTCACTAAAAGCGCCATTTCGTTCTTTATAAGCACGGATGACCGCGATTGGCCCATATGTTGTAGTCGACTGGTTTTGGTCCGAAAAGGCTGCGATGCAGCGTTCCTCCTTTATTCCCAATCTAACATGGTTGAACAAGCGGTCACGTGCTCCTGCGTACACCAGTCACCTGGTCACCGTGCCTGCAGGGTACAACTTACTAGCCTGTTTGACCTTTATTGGGTGCAGTCCTGTCACTCGAGTTGAACCTTGGTGTGAAAGTTGTCGCCTGCTGGCGCGGTGACCAGGTGATTTGGGCACCCAGGAGCACGTGACCGCTTCTTCAACCATGTTCGATTGGGAATAAAGGAGGAACGCTGCATCGCAGCTTTTTCAGACCAAAACCAGTCGACTCAGCGTCCAAAAGACTACAACATATTGGCCAATCGCGGTCATCCGTGCTTATATAAGAACGAAATGGCGCTTTTAGTGACATTTTGCATACAAATCCCCATCTAGTAGGGCGCAGTCACCCAGTTTCGGTGGAAGTGCGCGAGTTCGATTGGGATTCAAGTAGGAAGGGAGCGTCTCAGCTTCCTCGGACCAAGACCATTCAACTCAGCACCCAGAAGACTACAACTGGTGAAAATTTGATTTTAGGGTATACTTCCCCTTTAACGCTTTGTTTGTTACAAAGGCAGGGGAATCCTCCTATAAATAGACCTACATCAGGCCCTTTCAAATTTCTTGCACATACTTTTCCCAAATGCATATCTGAAGTCATGTTGTCAATGCAGTGCAGTGTCATGCATAAGTTACTGCATTCTATTCTATTATTTCTGTACATAATTACTTGTATGCTTGTATTGATGTTGCAGTGCCTATTGCTGTATCCTGGTTCCTTCTCCATAGCTGAGACTATAATTGTAGATCTTCTTCCATGCAGTTCTCTCCGGAAGTCCACATTTGATCCCGAGTACACATTCTATACATTTTAGTGGCATTTATAAACATGAAAGAGCACAGTGTCATTAAGCATAATTTGAGCATAATTTAGTAATTTTCAGAGCATATTTCCAGCATACTGAAAAGCATAATCCATGTGATTTTCGAGCCGATGTCTATACTTGGGACCGTCAGATTAATTTCTCTGGACCGAGCCAGCCGGGAAAAATCCCTCCCGCCGACGGACGCATGAATGAGGGAAAAAACCGGTTGTACACCCCCAAGTGGCAACATAGCAGCATAAAAACAGGCACAACATAATATCTACAGCCAAGAAAGAAAGGGAAGAAGATGGGCAGATATGAAGGGTGGGAGGGTAGGAACACTGGTGAGACACAAAAAAAGTGACTGAAGAAGTCAGGCAAAAAGAACAGCAACAAAAAGAGAAAACATCGGATGCCATATTCGCAAGAGAAATCATTTCTCGCCTCACTCGCTCCGCATAGTGGGATGGTCTAGACCATGATTGAGAAACGGAGGGTACCAAGTGCAAGTCCTGCTTGGAAGTGGAAGAATTTTTTCCAGCCGTGCTGCGACCCACAGTTAATTGGGAACTCGTGGCCTGGCACGAGGAAAACATGGATGCAGTGAATGGGATTTTTTTCGGTCTTTGACTTTGTGCACGACGGGCGGTGTGCACAAAGTAGGGGTGAAACGAGTATATTGAATCCTCGAGCGCTCGCTCGAAAATTTGAAACGAGCGAGTACTCGTTTCGCAAAATACTCGAAGTATCCTATGTACAGTGTACAGTATGCATATACATCAAGCATTTCTGTTACTCTGACCATGTACCAGTACTCATAGCCCATGCAAGCGCGAAATTTTTGCTTGTCCCTACTTCAAGTACTAACCAGCAAAAGACAGTAGTTCAGACTATTTCCTGCACTTGGCTGCATGCAAGACTACATGTGCATCAGGTGTACTACGTTCAGTGTTACAAAAATGTGTGCAGTACATTGTTTTATGTTGTCAGTAAAATACTCGTACTCGCTCGAATACTCGCTCGTTTTTTCAAAGAGTACTCGAGTCCTCGATTTTGGCACTCGTTTCACCCCTAGTACAAAGGGCAGGGACGTAATCAACGCAAGCTGATGACTTGCGCTTACTAGGAATTCCTCGTTGAAGACCAATAATTGCAATGGTCTATCCAGGGCCTGCTGGAGAGCCGGGTCAGCCGGGTCACGCGCCCGGCTGGGGAACTGCTCGACCTGGCTGAACAGATATCACCGGGTCCAGTCTGACCCGGCTGAAAAATTTCTCAAACTGACAATGGATTCCTAAAATACCGGTATTTTACGACTCGCGGACCCCATCTGTAGCAAATCTAGCGCAACCGTACACATTACAGTCTAGCTACAACTTACACGCGACAAACTCGGCTAGGGTCAACTGGGGTCAACTGGTTCGAGCGCGATCTGGCCAGCGGCGAGCAGGAAGTCAGGACATTCAAAGTCGATGGGGCAGGCAGTCAAAAGCGTAACTTTGGCTATAGCTTTTAACACAGTTGCAAGTTTTCAGCCGACTGGTGATTTGGTGATGGAGTCCGCAGCGAAGAGAAAAAGAAATCACTCTTTCCAAGACTCTTGGAAGAAAGGTCGACCCTGGCTGGACTACGACCATGCCAGTCTATCCATGTCATGCGCTTTGTGCAAGACGCATTTCCAAAGGAAGACGAGCGGCGGTGGATTTGGTCGCGATGCGTGGTTGAAAGGTAAGAACTCACTGCTTCGAATTATCGGCACGCTGCTCGGCTCCATCCTAGCTTTCGACATACGCTCAGGTAATCATTATTTTAGTCTGCACCGGACTTAATACAACAGCAACAGCGCCACCAGCAACAGCAGCACCAGCAGCAGCAGCAGCAGTTGCAACTCCACCAGTTCTCCAGTCTGCTGAAGCCTTTCAACAGATGGTGCAGCAGATGCCAGTCGGCTTGGCCATGCAGGTGATGCAGTGGCAGCAAGCAGCCACTCCACAAGGTGCTGCAGGCCCCCCCCCCCCCCCCGCCCAGTGCTCTATTATGTGAACATGTTTGCCCTGCTACTAGCACTAATTAGAAAACTGAATTCCTTTTTTTTAAATTGTTAAATCAGAATCCAAAGGAACTACTTTGCATTCGCGTAATATCGTTTACCTTCTATGTTTGCAGACTTTGATAGTTCGCCTTCTCTAAAATTTCCGATTTCCGGTAATAAATTCGCCTTTCTGTTTTCGTGCGTTTTGAGCAGGCTTTGGTTGCTTTTCTGCCGGATGATCTGACCCGGCTGGCCTGCATGCGCCAGGTACACTCTGACCGGGCTGTGTTGAATGTCTAGAGCAGGCCCTGCTATCCCCAGCACGATTAAGTTTCACAAGATTACCCACACCTATCGGTGAAGCATGAAGATAAACCGAGTCTCACGCGAACCGTGAATTTTTTTCGCTCCACTTGGCCGGCGAGAAATATAACTGCTTTTCGATGTTACCTTTCAACATATTGGGAAGGGGAGAATGTTCACAGAGTGTGCATGTAACAGTCTCTGCTCTGTTTTATTTTCTCTTTTCGTTCGTCCCTCTTGATATTTGTACTGTTGAGGCAACGAACTGAAACAATAAAAACCAAACCAAACCAACAGAGCCTCTACGGAACACAAGCCAAATACCACAGACTGGTAAACGGCAAGAGGGAGAAGTAGAATGGCAACATTGAACACCTCTAGGAAAAAGGAAGAAAACAATCAATGAAGACAGCAGCTACACAACAGCTTAATGTAGATCGACACACGCCGTGGATAAATCTACCGTAGTGTCAAGCTATGATCATTATTGGACATGGGGTGAGCACTTGCCTGTTGCATATTGCCAGCACCAACATGACCTGTAGGCAACCCAGCATTGGGAAACATGCCAGTACTACCACCACGTATGCCAAAACGTGAAGTAGCTGAACCGATGTGATTGCCATCAAAAGGGAGCATGCCATTGTTCGGCGAACTGCTTCGCACAGCCGAACCATTACGCAGACCGAGATTAGGAATACGGGGCAGTGGCGTTGCACCAGCAGATCCAGCACCAGCACTAACATTATTCCCAGGCAGAGGCAGCATTCCCGTGGCTTGTTCCGCTGCACAAAAACAATACAATGGCTTTGTAGCTCAGTCACAGACATCTTCTGGTGGCTAAACCAGGGAACGGTACAGCGAGGGACACGGTCCCCTTTTAAGTGGCATTGCGAGAGAAATGCATTTGTTTTCTTTTTTCACAAAGTCATGTGGAAGGAGTGTGCCATCAAACACCGAAAGGTGACGTGGTATGTCTGGCATAGCCAGGATCCAACACCCTATACTCAGTTTGTGTGCCCCAGGTATGGCAGTGTATACAGCCATGGACATGTACTGCGTGACCACAGATCTCGGTATGTTTTCAATTTTTCATTTGTGTACAGTAACAGTTCCTTCACTGACTAGCCACGTGAATGCACTTCTGAACGCCAGTATAATTATGGAAAAGTCCACAGCATTATGATTTGCGTGGTCAAGCCCAGAATGACCAGAACACAATTCAGTTATCCACAACCATACAAGATCGATCTATTTTAGGAAACTTCACTTTTCTAGTTCGAAACTCCAAAAATGGTCCCTTCACTGCGATTCAAATTACACACACCCAAGTTTTCGTGCACACACCCACTAGGCCTTGTGGCCATGCATAATAATATTATGTATACACACGCATACACACGCATGTATTCCACATTGCAGTATGCTTGCAAAACTTGCTCGCACCAGCACACCAAGCAGAACGTACAAGTAGTTCTGGGGGTTTGCTATTATCTTTTTTTTCACATTTGTCACTCTTTGAAATATCACCAATGATAGCAAATTGCCGTGTTAGCAAGAGCCATTGGGCACAACAAGCCAAAGCATGGCTCATAATTCTTATCGCGTCATAACGCGCACAGCACGGCAATTTGTAACAAGCACAATTGGAAAACATGTCACCCGGCAACATCAAACGGGTACATCGTTACAAACATGGTACATCGGTAAAGTGATCAAGATCAGGGGATGGGGACCACTCGAGGTCATGAAAGAATGAACGGCCATTCCAAGTGGCAGCAAACCGACGCCACCATGCTATGTCCAAGCGAGCTTTGGCATCGAGGGTAATGGTAGACTGCAGGGAGGGAGTGGTGCAGCTAAAGTCGATGAGGCGCCGGATGAAAGTCCGACCAGGAGGCACCACCTTGGCAGCAAATGAAAGTGTGCTTATGAAAGACAGCAGCTCCCGCTTTGTGCAACTAGTGCGAGCAGACCAGGCAGCCAGGGCTGAGTGCAGAGCAGACAACTTCTCATCGGGGAGCCGCATGACCTGCTCCACGCTGTCGACCTCAATATCAAAAATGGTCACCACGGTGGCGGGGCCACCCACCTTGCCAGGACCGGACGCAACAGGGATGCCAAGGTTACCAAAGACTTGGAGAACTGTAGCCATCTGAATAGCCGCTGTGGAGAGAGGGAGCGCAGAGCTCGGAGGGGCAACACCAATGTAGTCATCAAGATAATGTTCCAGGGAGAGAATCGAATAATTGTGCCGCAGGATCCAGCACACAGCATCGGCGAGAACATTGAAGAAGGCCGGTGAGGATCGCATCCCAAATGGGAGGACCTTATCAACGTAATAACGACCCTGCCACACCCTGCCACACCGTGCCACACCGTGCCACACCATGCCACACCCTGCCACACCCTGCCACACCCTGCCACACCCTGCCACACCCTGCCACACCCTGCCACACCCTGCCACACCATGCCCAGCATGTGCCAATCATAAGGGTGGACCGGAATATTACGAACGCGTGATGAATATCCACTTTAAACATTAGAGAACCCTTTCCCTGAGGAGTGAGGAATCACATGCCGAACGATGTCGTCCACAGATATATACATAAGGCTGAAGCGGTCAGCTGGAATACAGTCATTAATGCTGTGGCCCGTAGGAGCAGACAAATGCACAATAAGTCGGTGGCCACCTGACTTCTTGGGGACGACACCAATACCAGCGAAATGAAATGGAACACAGGGAGGCCGGAGGAACGGACCAGCTGTATGGCCACGAGCACATTCTTTGGCCAAGTACTCACTCACAATATCAGGATTGTCATAGGAGGAAACAAGGTTAGAGCTAACGAGGGAAGAGCGGTGACCAGTATAACCAATGCGGAAGACATGACGGAGGCCATTGAGGAGTGTTGCCACGAAATCCCTGTCAGTATGGAACTGGAGCTCATCCGACCGGGAGGCGACATGAACAGGAGTAAACGGGCGATGCTCAGACAAGGGAGAATCCGAAGGCACGCTACGGGGACTTGCTGGCAATGCCGTAGGCAGTACATTGGCTGCGTGGATGGTCTCCCGCGCCACAGGAGGAGCACACATGACGAAATCGGCAGGAGCGAAAATTACACCGACCGCGGTTGACCGCATCACAAGCTCTAGCAGCCGATGGTGGCTGCCGGCCACGTGGGCTAAACAAGCAGGAGGCAGCGAGGTTACCGGGCTTGTGGCAAGAAGAGCAATTGGGTAGGGACTGGCCCGTAAAACAACAAGCATACAAGTCCAGGTCGGTCTTGCTCCAGAGGACCTCCGAACACCAACTCGGTGTCGTAATCGGCCACCACAGCCCACCGGAATTTCTTAGCCGGCTGGGTTACAGACCATACTCAGCACAGAATAATCACTTTAAATGATATGCATCATGAGACCATCACTGCGCATGTGCCCGCGTGGGCTAACTTGGCTTTGATACTCAAAGCCGGCATTTTACATTCAACCAAATTTTCGGGCCTGGCCCATCATCAGGGTAATGAATGACAAAATATCCATTGCATAGGTACTATATCTTCATTGCATAGGTACTATATCTTCATTGCATAGGTACTATATCTTCATTGCATAGGTACTATATCTTCATTGCATAGGTACTATATCTTCATTGCATAGGTACTATATCTTCATTACATAGGTACTATATCTTCATTGCATAGGTACTATATCTTCATTACATAGGTACTATATCTTCATTACATAGGTATTTTTTTGTATTTATATCATTATCTCATGGCACATCATGATGACGGCCAATAAAACTGAGACAAGGGTGAAAGCCAACCACAGCAGTAAAACAGATAAAAGAATACAAATAAGAGGCAAAGAAGGCAAAGGAGGAGACAAGCCAGCAGGATATACATGAAACCTATAATTGAGCAGAGATTTTAGCAACAAAATTATCCATCGACGTGCTGGTCTTGGCCTGCGTTGGTAATGTTGCCCAAAACACATAGCCAGCAAAGATCGGGGATCTAGTGAATAGGGTGGAGGCAGCGCGTGGGAGACTGAGTGAGTTCCGGGTATTCCGTGTTTCGGAGAACCAATTATAAGCCTGCATATGCAAGGGTATTTTATTTAGTAATATTTTATGTATGAGAACACAGAGGTGGTACTTATGTCGAGTGGAAAGGGGACTGATCTTGGCAATTTCGTAAAGACTAGCGGAGGGAAAGCGACGATCTTTGCTAAATAAGATTTTAAGGAGCATGCGGTTATGGGTTTCTAGCTTGTTCAATACAGTAGTAGTTATGCCAGACCAAGCAGTATCACAGTAGTCAAGTAAGGGCAATATATAGCAACGATAAAACAAGCGTTTGCAAGAAAGAGGAAGATGTCTACAGTGGGTTTGAAGAGCCCCAAGGATGGAGCTTGTGCGCTTGCAGACATAGTGCACATGGGGTGACCACGACAATTTAGAGTCAATAATAACGCCAAGATGCTTATGCTCTTCAACAATACGAATAGCAACACTTGAAGAAGGAAAACAAAGTGGCAGGGAAGGGGGAGAAGGGGAAATGTACATAGCTGCCGCTTTATCAACGTTTGGCTGCAACTTCCAATCATGCATCCAGGTTATAACTTTCCCAATGCTATCTTGCATGGCTTCGTGCATAGCATGGCTTAGGGCAAGCATTGGAGCAAAGCAGAGCTGTGTCGTCAGCGAAAAGGCTGACACCAGGGGCAATATCGGGGAGGTCATTAATATACAGGAGAAATAGCAGTGGCCCAAGGATTGAACCCTGGGGGACTCCAGAAGTAACGGGTAAAAGCTCCGATAACACAGTTGAGAGGCGTACAAGCTGATGTCGGTTAGAGAGATACGATGAGAGCCAGCCGATAGCCTTGCCATCAATGCGATATACTGTTCGCAGCTTAGCTAAGAGACCCCTGTGCCAAACAGTGTCGAAGGCCTTTGCGAGATCGAAGAAAACTAAACCAACATGGTTATGGGCGTTCCGGGCGGTGTGGATGTCTTGCACGAGGCGGGTAACCTGGTACCTGGTGGAGTCACCCCGACAAAAGCCCGACTGTGCTGGTGAAAGTGAAATGTGAACATGATCATAAATGATGTCATATACAACACGTTCGCACACTTTTGATAAAGTAGAGAGCAATGAGATAGGGCGATAGTTGCTGGGGGTGGTGCGTGTTCCTCTATTTTTGTAGGTGGCCACGACTACCGCAGTTTTCCACATGGCTGGGAATTTCCCTTCACGAAATGACATATTCAAGATAATTGACACGGGATAGGCAACAGACGGAGCAAGAGCTCTCCAAACTTCGTTGGTAATTCCGTCTTGACCAGGGGACTTGCCAGTTTTCAGATTACGGAGATATTTCCTCACTTGGGCTGTACCAGTCGACAATGATAGGAGGGACGCAGGTATTGAGGGTGAAGGGGTGAGTGGTGGTATAGGCCACGTAGGGTCGTCAGGAAGTCCAAACGACGTAAACTGCGTGTTCAATATGTCTGCTATGTCTGCAGGATCTGTTGCTACCGTGCCGTCTGAAGCTGTCATTGATCGGATCGGCTCCCGACTACAGTTCTTACGGAGATGGCGGAGAAATTGATGGAGACTAGGGCAATCATGGGAAGACAGGGTGGCATGAACCGACTGTACATACTGACGATGGAGGGTACGTGACAAACATTTCACTTCGTTACACTTGCGCTTAAAGGCAATGAAGTTTTCACTGGTTGGATATTTCCTATAAATGCTATACAAATCTCGCTTCAGTTTCACAGCACACTTGAGGTCCGGAGTGATCCAGGGTCGGGATGCATCCCGCATAGTAGGACGAGGCCTAATGTAGTCTCCTGTCCGCGGAATAACTTTGTAAGGCAACAGATGACGATGGAATGCTGACTGTAGTAAAGCATCAAACAGGACAATGGCATCATCAACATCAGAATGCCGATGAAGTAATGACCAGTCCAACCTAGACAAGTCTTCATTCACAACCTGCCAGACACGGGTAGGCACTTGTTTATACCTGTACTGAGCCTGGGGATGGAGGGACGATTTAGCAGTCGCTTGTGGTGTCGAGCACGATGCATAGTTGAGCGTACAAACAACCTGCAGATGATCAGATGTGCCAAGAGGAGCTGCGTGGTCGACTGAGAGGACATGTCGGGGTTTGTTGGTTACCAAAAGGTCAAGACATGAGTTGGCACCCGCTGATGAAGTGTATGTTGGGAAACTCACTAGTTGTTGGAGCCCAAGCATTGAAAAAACTGTCTGTAGGTTGGTACCGGCTGTAGAGGTGGAGTCAGAAGAGCACCAATCATTATGTTTGGCATTAAAATCCCCCGTCAGGAAGAAGTCACACTCGTCATAGCAAGAGGACTGTATAGCATCGACCAGCATATCCGAGAAGAAGGACAATTGTTCCGCCGTTTGGGAAGGGGGTCGATACATGCAACATACAAGAATAGGGTTAGGGGTGCATTGAGACTTAACTTCCACCCAGGTAGATTCACAGCCCTGACGCTGCAGGTCGGGTCTGTGGAGAATATGTTGAAAAGCATCAGTCCGGACAAGCACGGCGACACCACCATATCCTCTAGTGAAAGAGTGTGCATTTCTGTTCTCGTGTGCTGGTCTGTCTCTTCTGAAACAGGAATAGCCCGGTACATGCACGGAAACAGATGGGCACAGCCAGGTCTCCGTGAGGCAAACAATACTTGGCTTAGTGCTCTCCAGAACAATCGAAAGTTCAGCTAATTTATTGACGAGAGACCGACAATTCATGGTTATCAGCGTTAGGTCGGATTCTGATCTGGGGTAGAATGGGGTAGCATGCAAGTTGAGGGAAGACATAGACAACATGATTATGACGAGGAACTATCACCACCACGTTCAGTCACGTTGGTACCGTCGGCAAAACGCCACTTACGGACGGTGTGGCTAATTGTTGCCGGCCAAAATCCTGCACTGAGTATTTTGCCTTCATCCGTCGCTAGGACAGTCAGTCGTGCATATGCTGTGCCAAAGGTCCGGGATTCGCTAATACTGCAATTGAGCACCTCAACCTCACGGTCCTTGCACCAGTCAGTAATTGCGTTAGCGCTACACTCCATGTGGACATTGCCCACGTAGAACACAGATTTCGCGACTTTCTCTACGCCTGTAAGGATGTTGGGGTTAGCTGGGGCCACAGGCTTCACGTACCGGGACGTGACCCGACGCTGTACAACTTCGGCCCAGCCATCCGAACTGCTTCCCGTATATTCACTTGTACTAGTTGTAGCCAATGTTGATCTGGTTGGTGCAGCCGGTGGTGTTTCAGTGCGTGATGAGCAGGTCTGGTGTACGTGTGTCGATGTTTGGGAAGTGCGGGTACGGTTGGTAGGTACTATATCTTCATGCAGTCATGTAGTTCAATAGCGTATTATCTCTAATATAAGCACGGTCCTTTATTTTTTTATTTTTAATTAATGGAGACGTTCCTTTATTGGAGATTGTTCCATTATTATTTCAACCTCATTTCAGAGGCATGTTGCTATGCCAAATTCATGTCAGACACACATTCACACATTTCAGGGTTTTTTCGCCGGTACAGATAATGAATTTACACAGTGTGCTTATAATGGAGACTGAGCATTATATTTTTTTAATGCCGCCCCAAGGTGTTCTATTATTGGAGACGTGCTATTATAGGAGACTGTGCTTATATTAGACATAATACGGTAAGTACCTATGCAATTTTTTGGATATCTTGTCATTCATTACACTGATGATGGGCAAGGCCCGAAAATTTGGTGTAACGTTAATATTAATTCGAATTGCAGTGAAGAGACCGTTTTTGGAGTTTTGAGTTGAGAAGTGAAGTTTCCTCAATGTGAAAGTGGCTGCGTTGGAGTTGCGGACAATTAGAAAACATCCATCTACCCATTCAAAACTACAAGTAACACAAGAACATCTTACCAGCTGGAATGGCGGCACGCTGTAGACTACAAGGAGGCGGACAGACCAGATCCGTACAGTTGCTCCAGTGGTTCATCGTCTCATACAGCCCTAACCTGCGTACTAGAGAAAGGGGCAAAGGAAAGGGCAGGATGCACCAGTCAAGTCATACACTACAGGTTTAAAAGTACAATGTGCCACGACGGTTGGTAAAGCCAGTACTTGTAAATTATTCCTTGGCCATTCAATATCAATAATTATCATCTGTGAGGGCGTATTCTCACTGAGCACAAATGCCGCAACCAATAGTTACATGTTGTATAAACAAGTGGCGAAGCGTCAGTACTTTCAGTATAGCCACCAACAGGACAGACTAAATCCACATTTCATAACGGATTTATGATAAGTGTTTGCGGATGAACGTGATGCGATGGACAAAGAGCAAAATGTGACTACAATAGCAAGACATTGGTGGACGATAGAAAGCATACTAGTATGATCAGCACATGCCCAGATTCGCTTATCCAGCACTCCATAAATCCTGGATATGTTGTGTGCTCTCCACTGGTCTGTAATGACGAGCGCATGCATGTTAAATATCAGTTTAAGCGAAGCATGAACTGTAGTTAACAGTCACGTAACAACCTCTCAGCTTGCTATCTTGCATAGGGTCCATGTTGCACTTGTTCCTTACCCATACCACAGCTGATGAGCTGGCCTTGTCACTGCGCATGCGACCACATGTTGCAAACACGACCCGGGGCAGCGTTCCCTTCACTGATGTCAGCTAAGCATGGCAGCTAGCTCACTAAACTGCCCGTGTGCATCGATTCTACTTTCAAGCATTCGTTGTTCTACGCTTACTTGCCGCCCTGGCTTGCTGTTTTCTCATAAACTAGCTCTCAGCCAGAATTTTCCCCATCCCGAAACCACCCAACTTAACGCTTCCTATGGTGCCAGATTCGCCACAAAAGCAACTCTTATCAACTTTATTTTGAAGTACAAAGAAATAGGGACTCACAACCTGGTGGTATGTATTAGGTGGCCAGCAAAGGACTCCATAAGCCTTTAAGCTAGGTTACCAGCCCCACCGCTTTTGTCCTAACGTTATCATGCGGTTGTCAGGGTGTAAGCGTAACCGTGTTAGCAGCCTATTTCCACATTTGTCCTACCATGTGGAAGTGCAGTGTAAGCCTAACCTCTTTAGCCACCCCTTCCACTTACGTCCTACCATGTGGAAGTGCGGTGTAAGACGAATCATTTCACCCACTGTGAGTCCCGATGTAGCCCAAAACTTGTCTTGAATGTCTGTGTGTGCAGTTGGGATGTTAAGTGCAACCAACACTGTACACACTGTACCTTGTCCGCCGTTTTCCTGCTGCTGCAGCTGCTGCTGCTGCTGCTGCTGCTGCTGCTGCTGCTCCTGGTGCGGCTGCTGATGCTGCTCCTGGTGCGGCTGCTGATGCTGCTCCTGGTGCGGCTGCTGATGCTGCTCCTGGTGCGGCTGCTGATGCTGCTCCTGGTGCGGCTGCTGATGCTGCTGGTGCGGCTGCCGCGGCAGCTGGTGCTGCTGCTGCTGCTGCTGCTGCTGGTGCGGCAGCTGCTGGTGCGGCAGCTGCTGGTGCGGCAGCTGCTGTTGTTGTTTGGGCTGCTCCTGGTGCCGATGCTGTTGCTGTTGCTGATACTGCTGCTGCTGCTGCTGGTGTGGTTGTGTCTGGAATTCTGCACCAGACGTCTTTATGAGAGCCACCACTTTCTCGAGCACCGATTGCAGGTATTCTTCCTGCAAGTGGATAAATCACAAGCCACAACATTGTCATTGCCAGTGCAATTTTCATGCAAATTTATCTCCAAATAATCACCTTATTTTCCTCGCTACAGTTCTACTTCCTCCACGTCATTCCAATTGTCGCCTCCCACATCGCAACGTTTGTGACTTGCTTGTCTTAGTCGGACTGTCGGAATGGCAGTTTCTGTGTTCGAACAGTGGTACGACCCCTCCTACACAATGTCTACTTGTTACGGAAGGTCAAAAGCTGCGGTGGTCTCGCAGCTCACTTCAGCACCAAACAAAACATATTCATTGCGCTCCGCATTATTTCGCCCCAGAGCGCGTATCTTCTTTCTGGAGTTTCTTCCGGCCCACATCTTTGGCGTGGGCATTTGTCAAGACTGCAAGCTCGGGTAAAAGAATCCTGGTATCTCCCCTGTATTCGAAATGCTAAAGTTAACGATGGCAAGAACAAAGTGTTCTTAAATTCCTAAAAAAGGCTACACGTGGTGCATGTTGCGGAAGGTACCAGGACTGAAAAAAACACCCACAAAATCAGCGACTCGCTCATTTGAAGGTGCGGAGCTGCTTACCCTATCCTGCAGGAAGGTCGTTACGGAGGACTTCAAAAATGCCACTTTCCCATCATCGCCTGCCACCTGGAAGCATTGATCGCTGAAATGAAAGTTTCATGACCAGAATTTGAACACGCATCTTGTTCAGCGTCTTATTGAGTACTGATGGGTCTGCCTCAAAACTCTGGTGAAGACTTCGTCCTCGGCCACATGTGCAGCAAAGCGGGCCGACGCCACAAACTCAAGCTTAGTCCGTCGACAATGCTCTGCCACAATTTGTAGCTGGTTTCTTTGCTTCGGGAGAACAAAAATATACAAATCCCTCTCGGTAGCGACATTTGTAATGACGCGGAACAAAATATATTTGAAAAATCCTTCTCGGTGGCGACATTTGTAATGACGCGGAGGCAGTACTCTTCACTAACAGATACTCTAATTTCAGAAATTTTAGGTGCTCTATATTCTCGGTATGAGGTCAAAAGGCCAGGTTAAGTGAACAAAAAAGTTAGGGACATAGTCAATCCCCTATTGGATTGTGCGTGCTAGAGTTTGTTTGGTTTACTGAAATTTTAGGTATGAAACAGATGCACTGAAAGTACCGAAAATATAAGTACATGTACACGGAAAATTTGTGAAATTGCAGTACACTGATGATTGTCATGAAGTAACGGTAGTTGGTTGTTCCAACGATGAAGTTGTATTTCTCGCCAGCCGAGCGCAGCGAGATAGGCGAGAAATGATTTCTCACAAAATATTTTCAGTTGCAAATATGGCATCTGGTGTGTTCTTTATTGTCGCTTCTTTTCCTGACTTCTTCAGTCAGTTTTTAGTCTCACCAGTGTCCCTGCCCTCCCACCCTTCATTTCTGTGCATATTATTATTGCTTTTATCACTGTTTGCCGTGATGTGCTTGCCATGCCTACATGATGCCTAATCGCCATTGGGTATATACACCCGCGAGGGTTTTTTCCCGGCTGGCTCGGTCCAGGAAAATTAATCTGACAGTCCCAATTGGTTCTGCATCATGGCCTATTCCTGCTATCCACTGGCACACCTATTCTATCTGAGACACTCTGTTTTCAGTCCTTGCTTCCATACCTCACTCGTTATCCGGTTCACATCTGGCTGCGGCCAACTACCCTTCACTTTGTTGTCGCTATTGCTGTCTATGTCTCTGTTTTTGCCAGTATATGTGGAGCGAGAACACACGTTTCTTGCTGAACTTGACACTTGACTGACTGTATTAAAGTTCGTACTGATGAAAATCGACTCTTTGGAATTTGATTTTTTCTGAAATGAATTTGTGAAAAGCAGTGATTGAGTGTGAGCCAGTGTTGCTCACAAGCCAATATTTTCTCTTTCAAGACTTTGATGTATTTAAAGTCGTCCCTCTCGAATCCGGCACTTTATAATCCAGCACCCTCGATAAACCAGCACAATTTTCAGTAGCCAAAATGTCCTCTTCATGCACATTGCAGCAGTAAATCAGATTTGTTAATCCAGCACCCTCCCTAATCCAGCAGACTTTCGTGGCACAAATGGTGCCGGATTATAGAGGGACCACTGTATTGCTATCATTGGAGAGATTGCGCACGACAAAAATTCGTAAGATTTCGACATTCAGGGTCCGAGTAACAAAAGTTGCTCCGAAGATCCGTTCAAACGCGACCGACACAGAGCAGATCAACGAATATATTTTCGCAACGCGGAGTACTAAAACACTGATATTTTACAACTCCCTGTCCTGACTCGACGCACTCGCGCGCGTGCCGCATCGGCGTACTACGAACAAGTTCACACGTTGTGCGCAACCTCATGGTTTACAAATATTCGTTAGCTTCTTTCGTTAAAAATATCCGTTACGGCGCTACGAATTTTCGTTGTGCGCAACCTCTCTAGTGTCTCAGAAAACTCGTACTATATCTGCACTTCCTGAGATTTCTTCCCAGGGGCTTCCCTAATCATGAGGCGCACATCGCGTGTGCATGCAGTGTCCTCTCCAAGGTTTATACCACTCTCTGATGTGCAGGTGTCAAATGCGCATGATCAGACTAAAGCACACGCCGGCAACAGCGGACACGTGAAAACAAACAATAAAGTAAGAAATAGATTTGACAAAGAAAGTGTACACAACTCACCCGGTTTCTAGCTTGGGAGTAGCATTTGGCTTCCAAACAACTGCAAGCCTGGCCAATACCCTTGTACTGCCAAGGCTGTATGCTAGGACGAGACCTGACCATCTTCTCAAATCTGAAGCGAAAACATTTCAATTAATTCACGAGTCGGTGGGTACTTGCATGAGAAAATGTCAGTGGGCAAAGATGAGAAAACAGATGTCCACAAAACCTTATTAGCTTAGGAAAACTACTTGCCCTTAGGCTTAGTTAGAGCCTGCGCTGCAGTTGACACATGGCCGGTACTCTGTGCGGATGCACCCCACGACGGTGTTTGCTCCTTGATATCAGACCAGTACAACGAGGCAATGCAACTAGTATAAACATGGATGTGGTGGCTCCGCCAAGCAAACTCAAGCCTGACAATGAAAACAGACCTCACACTCTTTGGATGACATCCCAACGGATTCCCTTGGGATAACAGTCATGCGAACGTTCATTCGCCACAGGTGGACAAACCCAAACGTCCAATAAAATGAGCCCGATACCAGACCAGTATAACAAGGCAATGCAACTAGTATTACAATGCATGTGGATGCTTTGCCAAACAGACTCAAAACCTGACAATGACAACAGAACTAACACTATGCGAATGGAATCCTGGCGACGACCAACGGAACAATTATCATGCCAAGGTTGATTGGCCATAGCCCAATACCAGACCAGTATAACAAGGCCGTGCAACTAGTAACTAGTATAAACATGTATGTTTTTTTTTTTTTTTTTTTTTTTTTTTTTTTTTTTTTTTTTTATTGGGAACACAGCCCTACAAAGAGACATGTGGAGACAAACACAAGACAGGACACAGGGGATGTAGGGACGACGTGCCGATGTACAGGGAGCAACTCGACCGACCAGGGGTCTCGGCGTTAGCGTTGCAACCTGGCATCGAAAAAAAGGGGGGGTGGCATGGTCAGGTAGCAAAAATAATAATTTGGTGCGAGAAAGGGGCGCTAGTATTGCACCAAATAATATAAATACGTGTAATGACTAAACCAGAAGGGAAAATGAAGAGAGAGAACAATAATCATAACAAGCAAGTAGTAGTAGAGAGGTAAATACTAAATGGGTCTCAAATCTCAATATCATCGTCACAGGTACTGTGTGGACCACAGCCATCTCTTTCGGATTAGATCCTTACATACGTTGACCTTGAAGGTTTGGAGGCGTCTTGAATGAGGCTCGTGAAGCAGGAGGTCCGCAGGCAGGTTGTTCCAGGGTGTGATGGCGAAGAAGGGGAAGGATCGCATGAGGTAGTCAGGGGCTGTGCGAGGGGGTGTCCACTTCAGCTGAAAGGCATGGTGCGTCTGACGTTTTTGCCGTGTGCACATGCTAGCTACGGCAGGGGGCTTGGTTGGTGGCAGCATGGCCTTTACCTGGGGAGGCCCTGGAATGTAGTGCAGCTTGAACAAGTATGACAGGGCTGCCACCATCCGACGAAGCTGAAGACTTTGGAGGATGGTTCCAGGTCCCAGGAAATGCAGGGCACGTTGCTGAACCTTGTCCAGCTGGGCCATGTTAGTTGCGGCTGCGCTCGACCAGGCCAGTGGGGCATATTCAAGTAGGGGTCGCACGAATCCCTTGTAGACCGTCACTCGACCATGGTCGTCCAGGATGGGTGCTGCCTTTCGTAGGAAACCCAGCCTTTGGGAGGCGCGCAGTGCAACACTGCGAGTGTGCGCTCTGTAGGAGAGAGTAGGGTCGAGCATGACTCCCAGCAGCTTCAGGGTATCTGTCTCCTGGAGTGCTTCACCTCCAAAGGTGACTGGTGGAGTGCAGGGGGGAACGTGCTTGCGATGTAGAGTCATGCGCTGTGTCTTGGCTGGCTCAAAACAGATACGCCACTTGCGGCCCCACTCCTCAAGACTGTTGAGGGACCCTTGGAGGGAGGCGGTGGACTGTTGGAGATCGTCAGTTGGCTGTACTAAGCTGTAGAGTGTGGTGTCGTCTGCAAAGCTGCTCAGCTGCGTCCCTGGAGTTAAACATTGTTCAATGTCACAGGTGTATAGAAGGAAGAGGCTGGGTCCTAGGATGCTGCCTTGGGGGACACCAGCCTGGATGGGTTGAGCATCTGACGTCTGGCCTCCAACCACAACGCGGATGTTTCGGTTGGTGAGGTAGTCCTGTAGCCATACAAGCAGGCGTCCGTCGACGCCGGCCTGCTTTGCTTTGTACAGCACTCCTGTGTGCGATACCCGGTCAAACGCACCGGCAATATCCACGGCGAGGACCTGGACACAACCGCCAGTACTTATGGTGTGGACCCATTCATGTTGGAGAGCCGTTAAGATATCTGCGGTTCCTCTACCACGTCGGAATCCAAACTGGCTGTTTGGCAACACTTCATGCTTCTCTAGGTAGTTAACCAGTTGCGTGTTTACAATGCCCTCCATGACTTTCGACATGATCGTTAGCAGTGATATTGGTCGGTAGTTCGATGCCAAAGATCTGGAGGACCGTTTGTGGACTGGGACTACATGGGCAAGTTTCCATGCCCCAGGTTGCACACCGGCTAAGAAGCAGAGGGCGAAGAGCTTTGCCAGTGGGTCTGCAAGTTCAGATGAGCACATCTTGAGCACACGAGCAGAGATGCCATCCGGTCCAGTTGCTTTTGATACAGCCAAGTTCGCCAAGTGCCGTTTGACCGTTGCTGCGCGGAAGTGAATGTGCTTTAGCGTGGCATAGGCAGGTCGTTGCAGGTCAGGCAGGTCAGCAGCACAGAGGTCGTTATTGCCAAGGCTACACTTGTTCGCAAAGTGCGCTGCAAAGCACTCGGCTTTCTCACGAGAAGAGTGGAACTCTTGTCCTGCAGGGTTGGTCAGCAGGGGGATGTCAGAGCAACGTCCCTTGCCTGCTGCGCTCTTGATGGTTGACCACCACTCTTTGTCCCGGAGGAAACCTGCAGTAAGCTTGTTGCGAATTCTACGTTGATGTGCTAATCGCGCTGCATGACACGCTTCCACTTCGTGGTTAACAGCTGTGATGTACTGGACCTTGTGGTTATCGTTGCGGGGATTGCGTCGCCACAGCTTCCATGCCCGCTCCTTGGCATGATTGGCGTTAGAACAGTCCGGTGTCCACCATACAGGGTTGGATTGGTGCACCACAAGCTCTTTGGATGGTATGAACTGTTTCATTCCATGCATGATGAGATCAGTTACGCGCTGAGAGGACTGCTCCGCACACCCATGGATCTTGGCGGGCCAGTCTATGTTGCGGAGGTAGGCTCTCAGGCGGTGCCAGTCAGCAAGGGCGTATTTCCAAACCTGTCGAACAGCAGGATCTTCGCGTCGTGGACGCTGTTGGAGAAACTCGGCAATGATAACGGCATGATCAGATCGTCCAAGTGGTGCATAGGCTGTGGTGCATACGGGGTGTGGGAAATCGGAGATGATAAGATCGAGAGTATTGTTGCCGCGGGTTGGCTGGGTGACATGCTGGACAAGATGATGTGCTGCGCAGACTTCCTCCAGGCATTCACCGGCTCGGGTAGTCTTGCTACTCTGTAGCCAGGCTGAATTATGCACGTTGAAGTCCCCTGCAATTATAACATTGCTGCCAAGACGGCGGACATCATCCAAAGTGTTGTCTAGGTAGTCCATCAGGCTGGTGTCTGTCTCTGCACAGGAGCCAGGCCGGTAGAGCGCACCCAGAACAGTCTTTGTTCCGGAGTGCATTGCCAGGGAAATCCATAAGAGCTCGTGATCACGGCAATCTATATCGTCGTGGTGGGTAATGGATAGTTCACTCCTAGCCCACACTGCCACACCGCCACCATGGGCATCTCGATCCTTCCTTATTGGGGGTGAGTATCCTGGGATGGTCAACTCATGGGAGGAATTATCTGAGCAGAGCTTCGTTTCTGTTACTATTGCCACGTCTACATTATACTGCAGGAGTGCATGCTGCAGGGCACCTATCTTGTTGCTCAGGCTGAATGCATTAGTCACTAGCAGTCGCAGAGGTCTGGAATCCATCATTGGGCATGAGAGGACTGGGCATCCTGCTGGGGTGGCTGCGCATCATGCTGGTCATGTTGTGGCGCAGATCCGTTTGATCTCTTCAGGTCTCCAGCCTCTGGTGGGGAGAGGTGGGAGTTTCTCCGTTTTTGGCCACTGTGTAGTGGAGTGGAGATGAAGTCTGCCGGTGGTGGTGGCGGCGGTGGTGGTGGCGGCGGGGAGGAGGAGGACGTTGAACCCGGCTGCTGTTGTTGCTGTTTAGTCAGAACACTGGCAGAGGTGCTGTTTCTGCTGCTGTGGCTGCGACTGCTGGTGCTGCCCTCAGAGCTGGTTTCTAAGAACCTCCATGGCCTGCAGTATACGGGCCTTGGCCAGAAGTTGGGCGCTGTCACTGTGGAGAGTGAAGTGGCATCGATGGTCACTCTTGCGGAAGCACGCCCACTTTCTGACAGCCATATACTGCAGGTGTGGACAGGAATGGAGGCGCCCAGAAACTCACTCCTGGTTTTGATAAATTGCCTGAAGTGGCTCTCAGTGCTATCTGTGGCGATATTGCCCACATACACCACAGCACGCTTGTTTTTGGGTCGTTCTGAGGAGACAAGCTTCCATGAGTCATCCTCAATAACATGGAAGATTGGCTTGGATTCTGTCACATCTGTCTGGGACTTGGTGGGGATGGCATCTTGGTCGCCATCCCCTTCACACTCGTCACTGCTACGGGAGATGTTGCAGGGGACGCTGCCATCCTCTTCACACTCGTCACCGCTACGGGAAATGTTGCTGGGGACGCTACGGGACATCGTGGTGTCATGCTTTCGAGTACCTGTACCCGCACTGCCAGCTTTGGTACGCCTACGCGAAGGTTGATCCGCACCCGTACCCTGCTGTGTTTGAACTGGCCTTGGGGTAGCTTTTCGCAAGGCAATGGCGGATTCTCGGAGAGACACTAACTCTTCATTCACATCTTTGAGCTGCCTTGACAGCTCGTCAACCCGTTTGTTTAGGCGCGTCTCCCGATCAGCCGATTCCGAGACAAATGCGGCCAATGTTTTCAGGATTTCTACTACAGATACCTCAATGCCCGGCAACGACGCCATCAGCCTCAGCTCTTCATCACTCAGGGCAGTCGCGCGAGTGTTTGTTCTCGTGGTGGCCCCAGGCATGGCGGAGGTCACCAATTTCTACGAGCACTACTAAAAAAACTTACTGCTACCCTACGGAAACTACCTCCAGTCCGGCCTGATGCCGGCTGGGCTCTACCAAGAAAGATTTACGGGAGCTTCAAAAAGTGCAACCTACCCCTACTGAACTTTGATTTTATGTGGACGCTTCGTCAAGCACACTCAAACCTGACTATGGAAACAGAACTCACACCGCACTGATGACTCTCAAGCGGAGAGGGTCGGGAAAAGTCCAACGTTTAATCGGTGCACGTGGATGAACTTTCACTGAACTTAATCTGTAGAGTACCCAAAGCATCATAGTCAGAGAAAACATTACATTTTATGTCATCACAGTCAGAGAAAACATTACATCATAGTCAGAGAAAACATTACATCATAGTCAGAGAAAACATTACATCATAGTCATAGGCATACTTCTGTACTATCATCACTCGAAAAGAAGGCAAAGGTTAGTTCACAGGAGAAGTAGAAAGAGATGCACAGACAAGAAGACCCATAGTTAACAATGGAAAACTTACATTTGCTTCATATACTCATTGTTGGCCGTGGGGCGAGCACCTGGCTGTTGCATATTGCCAGCACCAACATGACCTGTAGGCAACCCAGCATTGGGTAGCAGGCCAGGATTACCACCATTTATACCCGAACCACGAGGAGCTGAACCAATGTGGTTACCACCAGAAGGAAGCATGACATGGTTCGGCAAACTGCTGGACACAGCCGAACCATTATGAAGACCGTGATTAGGAATACCAAGCAGCGATGTTGCACCAGCAGATCCGGCACCAGCATCAACAACATTCCCTGGCGAACGTAGCATTCCCATGCCTGGCTCCACTTTGATCATGGAGGCAGCATCTGTTGCTGGGTTTAGTCCATTTACCGGCATGCCCGGTGTTGAGTTCACGCCAGTCGGAATATCTGTACAAAAACAATATAGCCCCGTAGTTCCGTCACTGAGTTGTCTGGTGTCTAAACCAGAGAACAGGTATGCGAGGGACACAGACCCCTACGTCATTTTGTTCACTGCCCTGGACTTAACCATCATAATTATACACATCTCCAGAGTGCTTTATGTACATGACTTGAGTGAGCATGATACCATGTAGGTTGTAACATTGTATGTCACAGTACCAGTCACGTGCATAATAGCTAGAGTACTGAACAACAAGCACAATCAAGGCCTGTTTGCTGCTACTTCAAGTTTCGTGCTCTCGCAATCATCAGGCAACATGAGGATGGGATGCCGATCATGCCGGTATATATGACAGGAGAGGGTGGATGTTCCGGTGATGGCAAGAGTATAACTCCCGAAGAGTGTGCAACTCCTGATACCCATTCTATAAAACTCACATCGCGTGGTGTAGTGTCGCAGTTGTACGTTTCCAGCCCGTTTTTAGCGAGCAGCAGAGTAAAAAACAGTTTGGGCGTACACTCGAACGTCTCTTATCCAGGCGCCTTGAGACCGGGCAGTGCCCGTATCTCCCGACAGCTCATCTACCATGTAACATCAGTTTTTTGAAGAAGTTTATTTGGTACGTATTGCACAGGTTCAAGATTTTTTTAAAGAATCCATTGATGGAAATGTGTGCATTGCAAAGGTTGGCGGTGACAAATAAACACTTGCGAGGTTCGAAGAAAGCTAACACTGGTGACTCAGTCAGGATGGCTTTGACGGCTTCGAATGCTATGGTGTGCTGCTGTTCCCAGGCGAATTCATTGCTGGTTTTCAGGAGTGGGCGAAGCGGCCCACTTAGTTCAGCAATGCGCGGTGTGAAGTCGCTGCATTGGTTGACCAAACCGAAGAACGACCGGAGGTCAGTGCGGTTGCAGGGCACTTCGAACTGGCGAATAGCAGATGTCTTGCTACCATCAACCGACTGTGGATGCCAGCCACGTGGGCTAAACAAGCAGGAGGCAGCGAGGTGACGGGGCTTGTGGCAAGCAGAGAAAATGGGTAGGGACTGGCCCGTAAAACAACGAGCATACAAGTCCATGGTCTTGTTCCAGAGGACCTCTGAACACGGACTGGGTGTCGTAATCGGCCACCACAGCCCACCGGAATTTCTTAGCCGGCTGGATTACAGACCATACTCAGCACAGAATAATCACTTTAAATGATATGCATCATGAGACCATCACTGCGCATGTGCCCGCGTGGGCTAACTTGGCTTTGATACTCGATGCCGGCATTTTACATTCAACCAAATTTTCGGGCCTGGCCCATCATCAGGATAATGAATGACAAAATATCCATTGCATAGGTACTATATCTTCATGCAGTCCATAGCCAGCAATCGCATGTCATCACGTACATTGAAAATCAACATAATTTTGCGAATCGACCTTTTTTTCAGGATCACTTTTCAACGAGGACGAAGCAAAGTCGGCCGAACGAAGCCTAGAGGAAGAAAATCACCCTCTCCACTTCACCATCACGATACTGACATAGATACGAGATGAAACAACTAAAAAATTCACAAGAAAACTGTACGACCATCATCGCGCTGACTTTGGTCTGACTTTGGTCTGAGAATTTCTATCACGATCAAAAATGTACGAGGAGCACTCAAAAATCAGCCACAGACGTACCTTTATCGCTCTCTACTCCTTTTTCAAGGCACAAAAGTCGACTCTCCACTTTCAAACCAGGAACCAGACATACCAGTGGTCCTTTTCAGCTGCTCCACGAGCGCAGGAAATGTTCACCAAGGGGCGCAGAGCAGCATCCATTCCAGAAAAATAGCTAAAATACGAGTGAGACTGCATGCCTGAGTACATGAGTACATGTATGAGTACATGCAGAAAATAGTCAATTTCAGCGTTTCTGCTCCAAACAGCAACTAGCTTCGACTAGAAACAAAGATTACACCAAAGGATCAAACAACAACCATTTTCTGCAGTTTTTTTGCAGATGGCTTCCTTGTGCTTGGCCCAGCACGCCAAAAATCACACCTCGGAGGAGTACAAAAATTACAACTCTCAGATGTCCTTGATTGCTGGCCATGATGTAGTTCAATAAGTACCTTTGCAATGGATATCTTGCCATTCATTACCCTGATGATGGACCAGGCCCGACAATTTGGTGTAACGTTAATTTTAATTTTAATTGCAGTGAAGAGACCGTTTTTGGAGTTTGGAGTTGAGAAGTGCAGTTTCATAAATGAGCCCCAGCCAGCAGAAACCTGAACATGTGTAATTTTTTCAAAAATTATTTTTTCGCTCGAAATTGATTCTACACTATTAATCATTCAAGTTATCAAGTTTGGTGACAATCTGATAAGCGAAAGCATGGAAAATAGAGTTTGAAGTCACACAGGTCAAGATTCAGTACAGTTGGCGCAGCATCCATGCCCAGTAACTCAATGCAAGTTGATCCTACAGTTTCTGATTGTGATGTGGAACAGGTACATGTAAGTAAATAGAATGCAAGTCAGGCTTGCCCTCTTGGCGCTGCAGGCATGAGTAGGTCAGAAGTGTGACGATATTCCGTATACACCACGACCTTATTTACAACACCAGAGTGCAAAACGATGATTGGTGGCTGGCCTTCCAAATTGTGTTCAGGGACCTCTGTGCTGGCAGTTTGAGCGTTGTCCCAAAGCTTGCCATACTGATAGATGTACTGACCAATACCACTGACATCCACTCCCTTGCACACTTTCACTCAGACCATGATTTCAGCATAATTGTATTTCAATGATATGAGCGAATATTCGCGTTTTGTAGCACGTGAAGATGTTGCCCCAACGCGTTCAGCCGGTTTAACTTTTTAGGGATCGCCTTTCTCAGCACAGGCAGCAGCCAGCCTGGCGTCGTCTGGCAAGGTAGAGTACTGATAATACTACGCTCTGTTTTGCGCCGTGAGAAGCCCTCCATCAGTGTCTGCAACATCATTGTTGTCGATGTAGAAATACGGATCGCTCAGCGGGTCGACATTCAGCTTCTCCTCGCAGTCGCTATTATTCCAGCACTGACTATCGTCGCCATCAGTATCCAGTGTTTATTTTATGAGGGCTCTTCGTTGCTATGCATATGAGACTCGCCACTGCTGGACAAACTCAGCGAGATCGCCACCAAAGAAATAATTCCGATCCCGAACTAACTTTCAGCGCCGCTTCGTACAGGGAGTCTCACGCTGACAACTCTGGACCTAAGTCCTTGTCGCGACACCTGTCGCCATCGCTGTGTCTAAACTCACCCTCCGTGTGACGAGCTCTCACCTAGCGCTAAAATCAATTGACCAGAGACATTTGAAGACACTTGAAACTCCTTTGACAACAAAGACACCCACTCGATCGAAAAAGAATCTTCAAAAGAGAGCTCACTGCGCGTCCCAATTTTGACGTCACATTTTGATGATTGATATCAAGTACACAAGTGCTGGTTTTCGCTGGCCGGGGCTCAAATGTGAAAGTGGCTGCGTTGGACTTTGCGAACAATTATAAAACATCCATCTACCCATTCAAAACTACAAGTTACACAAGAACATCTTACCAGCTGGAATGGCGGCACGCTGTAGACTACAAAAAGGACAGACCAGATCCGTACAGTTGCTCCAGTGGTTCATCGTCTCATACAGCCCTAACCTGCGTACTAGAGAAAGGGGCAAAGGAAAGGGCAGGATGCACCAGTCAAGTCATACACTACAGGTTTAAAAGTACAATGTGCCATGACGGTTGCTAAAGCCAGTACTTGTAAATTATTCCTTGGGCATTCAATATCAATAATTATCATCTGTGAGGGTGCATGCTCACTGAACACAAATGCCGCAACCAATAGTTACATGTAAGTGGCGAAGCGTCACTAATTTCAGGATAGCCACCAACAGGACAGACTAAATCCACATTTCATAACGGATTTATGATAAGTGTTTGCGGAAGAACGCGATGCGATGGACAAAGAGCAAAATGTGACTACAATAGCAAGACATTGGTGGACGATAGAAAGCATACTAGTATGATCAGCACATGCCCAGATTCGCTTATCCAGCACTCCATAAATCCTGGATATGTTGTGTGCTCTCCACTGGTCTGTAATGACGAGCGCATGCATGTTAAATATCAGTTAACACAAGCATCTGCATGCCGCACTCACACAACGAGCAACCAGTTTGGGGAATAGGAGGGTTTGTCAATTGCTTTGCCAGGCTCCGAGTGAGTGACAGCTTAGAGCTGTGTGAATGTGTGTGTATGGCAGCTGGGCAGGGCCCTGCTGCGGAGGCTGAGTGAGCCGTATGGAGGCAGCCGGGCAGGGCCCGGCTGCGGAGGCTGAGTGAGCCGTATTGAGAGGCTGAGTGAGCCGAGGCTGAGTGAGCCGTCTGAGTGTGAGAGGCTGAATGAGCCGTATGAGGAGCCTGGTAAGCAAGGTTGACTCCCCTCCATGTATTTACAGAGTTTCGCCGGTAGACGGCATCGGTGTAGTTATTGTAGGCCGGTATGATAATGGATACCGACAGGAGAGAACTAGAATAGGAAACATGATGATGACAATAGTGGAGTGCCGGGGTGGGTGGGTTGAGAAAGAAATCCACTGCCAATGCGGACAAAGCAAGAACTGAAGTCAGGAACAGTGGACTTCGGAGAACAATGAGCGTGTGAGAGTTTGTTGGGAACAGAGCATGCGCCTTCTGTGTTAACATATTTTTGCGAGTGCGCAAAAAATCATTTAACACAAGCATCTGCATGCCGCACTCACACAACGAGCAACCAGTTTGGGGAATAGGAGGGTTTGTCAATTGCTTTGCCAGGCTCCGAGTGAGTGACAGCTTAGAGCTGTGTGAATGTGTGTGTATGGCAGCTGGGCAGGGCCCTGCTGCGGAGGCTGAGTGAGCCGTATGGAGGCAGCCGGGCAGGGCCCGGCTGCGGAGGCTGAGTGAGCCGTATTGAGAGGCTGAGTGAGCCGAGGCTGAGTGAGCCGTCTGAGTGTGAGAGGCTGAATGAGCCGTATGAGGAGCCTGGTAAGCAAGGTTGACTCCCCAAATGGAGAACCTCCTATTCACTGTTAACTGTAGAGGGGGTGCCACAGATTGTGGACAATAATAGAGTGATATTGAGTTACTGAGTGTACAGTCGCTACATAGGTGACATTCGGTTATGCTCTGGCACCCACAATAAGTGGGCTCAGTCTGTCTGATCAGCGCTTACCCAGGACCGGTGCTGCCAGCTTTCATGGCAGTTTGCATGTGGGCTTCCGTCACTCGGCTGTGCAAGGCACGGCCGAAGTCTCCCCAGGAATGGACGGAAGAGCACGCACGGGAGTGGGCATGTGAGCGGCGGTAGGGTGGCACGAATGGAATCGCTTGAAATCTTGCCTGGAGAGAGCGTCAGCAAGGATGTTGGTAGTTCCCGGTATGTGACGGGCGGTGACCATAAAGTTACCCTTGGCGCAGATGAAGAAGAGCTGCCGTAGGAGTGACATCACATTAGGGCAGCGACTGGTGCCAGACTTGAGAACAGCGGCGACAGCTTCGTTGTCGGTATGGAAGCGGATACGCTTGCGACACCACTGGTGGCCCCACGTAGCACATGCAATGCAGATGGGGTACAGCTCCTTGAACGTAATGCAGAGCGGAGTGTGTTGTGGTGACCAGGTGTCGGCGAACCAATGCGTGCCGTAAACTGCGCCATGCCCAATGGCGCCAGATGCGTCAGTTTCTATCAGGATGTCGCTGGCCAGCGTCTCCTGGAGATTGAGGAAGAATGACTTGCCATTCCAGCCATCGAGTAGGTGAGACCACCAAAGAAGGTCCAGATGACATTCTGGAGAGAGACGGATGCGGTGGTAGGGCTTGGAAACGTTGCGCGTGGCATCATACAGTCGGCGCATGAATGTACGGCCCGGCGAGATGACGCGGCTGGCAAAGTTCAGCTTGCCCAACAGCTGTTCAAGCTCCCGTAGACGGCAGGATTGGCGTTGGCGAAAGGCCAATAGTCTGGAGCGGATGTCGTCAACCTTGTCCTGTGGGAGACGAGCCACTTTCTGGATGGAGTCCAGTTCGATGCCCAGGAAGGTGAGACAGGAGGTTGGGCCGACTGTCTTTTCGTCGGCAATGGGAACTCCCAGGTAGCGGAATACGGAGAGGACTACGTTCAGACGCTGCGCACATAGCGTTGAGTTTGCGGGGCCACAGAGCCAGAAGTCGTCCAGAAGGTGCAGGAGGTGGGGAACATGGAACAGTTCACAGCTTATCTGGCAAAGTGCGTCCGCAATGCAGTTAAACAAGTAGGGTGCGGACCTCAGCCCGAATGGCAGTACTTTTGTCATAGTAGAATTGGCCCTGCCACTGGAAACCCAACAAATGGTATGCAGTGGGTGCGACCGGGACCAGTCGAAATGCATTGCGTATGTCGAGCTTCGCCATCAAGGCACCGGTACCTTGACGTTGCAGACGCTCAATGGCATCGTCCACTGGGACATAATGTAGGGAGAACGAATCCTTGTTTATTCCATCATTGACAGACATACGGTCAGGGTAAGACAGGTGGTGAATGAGGCGGAATTTCCCGTTGTTCTTGGGCACAACGCCGAGCGGAGAGCATACAAATGGGTGGAAAGGCTGGACCGAGAAAGGACCGGCCGATTCGTCACGTCGGACCCGGTCAGCAATTTGTTGTTGTACAAACTGAGCATGTTCAATGGCATTTGGGAGGTTGCCAGAGATGATAGATACAGAAGCACCAGAGTGGCCAATGGGGAACCCGTGTTGCAAGCCATTAAGGATAAAGTCAGAGAGGACACGGTTAGAAATACGAGGCAAAAGAGTCATTAGGCGGGCTATGTACAGAGGCGTGGGGAGACTACTTCGCTGCGACGGGCTTGTCCGTCTGGCGGGGTCCCCGGCGACCGTCGTTGGTGCAGCGAGCGGCGGGATGACCTCGGTCGCCGCAGGTTGAGCAGACGTGCAAGCGTTCACAGGGCTTGTGTTGGCATGGGCGGCCACGGTTGAAGTTGAGGCAGATCTGGCGGGTGCTGCCCGCCCCGGCCAGAAATGGCTGCGTAGGACGGCTGGTGTTGGTGCCAGCTGGAGCATGTGGCCCTGCCAAATACTGTGGGCAACGGTCACGGCTGTGGTGCGTTGTGCAGCGCGGACATGATGGTCGGGGTGCCCGGATCAGGTGCAGGCTCCAGAGGCTTTGGTCGATTGCGTCCCAACGAGCCGAGGTTGTTGCCACCGCTGCACGGAAGGCACGGTCATACCCCAGTACAGCTGGGGTCGCAAACTGCTGGTTGGCAGTACAGATAATGTGCTGGTACGTCACCAGCTCCAGTGCTCGGAATGGCACATGTTTCAGTGCGCAGGCCATGTAGATTGTGTAGGCTTCCAGCCAGGCAGTGAAGTCCACAATGGAGCGCTTCTTAGTCACACATAAATTGAGGGACACACGCCGGCCCTCTCTGTTGGCGGTACTGAGCTCCAAGGGCTCGGACCCTGCGCCCACATTCTCTGGGAGGAGATCCTCCAGCTCAATATATTCGCCGCGTGTGATTTTGTCAAGCAACTTACGCGGGACCGTGGGAACAATAGAGCTGGACTCACGAGTGTTCGCCATGGGCGCTGCGATCGGAGGCAGCGCGGGTTGCATGAGGGAAATGTCCATGGGGCCGGAGTCGACCTGCGGCGGGTGATGGGTGACGGTGTTGGACGCGGTTTGGACCACATCTGCCACTGAGGGGACCGCCGCCTGAGCATGGCCGTCCGGATCCTGGCGAGCTGAAATTCGCTCCTCAAGGCGCTCGACTCGAGCCAGCAGGGGGTGCAGGGCCGTCGACACGGCCGCCGTAACGGAACGTGGATTTAGGCCAGTTGTGAGTAAGCTGGCCGGCTGGGGAACGGCGGACGGGATATCGTCCTGCTCCGCACGGGCATTGCCGGAACGATCCGCACGGGCATTGCCGGAACGATCGGCCGCATGGTCCGCAGGGGCTCGATTTGGAGTGTCGGCATACGGGGACGACGAGGCGCGCCTGCGACTGGAACGCCTGGGCCCGGGAGCCGACTGCTTACGTGCACGGGGCATCTCCGTGAGCTGTGGTAAACCTTGAGATTGAGGTTGAGAAAGAAATCCACTGCCAATGCGGACAAAGCAAGAACTGAAGTCAGGAACAGTGGACTTCGGAGAACAATGAGCGTGTGAGAGTTTGTTGGGAACAGAGCATGCGCCTTCTGTGTTAACATATTTTTGCGCGTGCGCAAAAAATCATTTTAAGCGAAGCATGAACTGTAGTTAACAGTCACGTAACAACCTCTCAGCTTGCTATCTTGCATAGGGTTCATGTTGCACTTGTTCCTTACCCATACCACAGCTGATGAGCTGGCCTTGTCGCTGCGCATGCGACCACATGTTGCAAACACGACCCGGGGCAGCGTTCCCTTCACTGACGTCAGCTAAGCATGGCAGCTAGCTCACTAAACTGCCCGTGTGCATCGATTCTACTTTCAAGCATTCGTTGTTCTACGCTTACTTGCCACCCTGGCTTGCTGTTTTCTCACAAACTAGCTCTCAGCCAGAATTTTCCCCATCCCGAAACCACCCAACTTAACGCTTCCTATGGTGCCAGATTCGCCACAAAAGCAACTCTTATCAACTATATTTTGAAGTACAAAGAAATAGGGACTCACAACATGGTGGTATGTATTAGGTGGCCAGCAAAGGACTCCATAAGCCTTTAAGCTAGGTTACCAGCCCCACCGCTTTTGTCCTAACGTTACCATGCGGTTGTCAGGGTGTAAGCGTAACCGTGTTAGCAGCCTATTTCCACATTTGTCCTACCCTGTGGAAGTGCAGTGTAAGCCTAACCTCTTTAGCCACCCCTTCCACTTACGTCCTACCATGTGGAAGTGCGGTGTAAGACGAATCATTTCACCCACTGTGAGTCCCGATCTAGCCCAAAACTTGTCTTGAATGTCTGTGTGTGCAGTTGGGATGTTAAGTGCAACCAACACTGTACATACTGTACCTTGTCCGCCGTTTTCCTGCTGCTGCAGCTGCTGCTGCTGCTGCTGCTGCTGCAGCTGCTGGTGGTGCGGCTGCCGCAGCAGCTGCTGTTGTTGTTTGGGCTGCTCCTGGTTTCGATGCTGTTGCTGTTGCTGATACTGCTGCTGATACTGCTGTTGCTGCTGCTGGTGGTGAGGTTGTGTCTGGAATTCTGCACCAGACGTCTTTATGAGAGCCACCACTTTGTCGTGCAGCGATTGCAGGTATTCTTCCTGCAAGTGGATAAATCACAATCCACAATATTATCATTGCCAGTGCAATTTTCGTGCAATTTTATCACCAAATAATCACCTTTTTTTCCTCGCTACATTTCTACTTCCTCCGCGTCATTCCAATTGTCGCTTCCCACATCGCAATGTTTGTGACTTGCTTGTCTTAGTCGGACTGTCGGAATCGCGGTTTTCTGTGTTCGAACCATTGCGCGAAATCACGCGACACCTGTACATTTTCGATCTGCGGGATGAAGATGACGACGTCCATCCATCAGGTATCAGGGGGTAGTACGATACTGGTATATTACTACTCCACGCCTCAAATCGTGCTGTCAAGCGTATGCGGGGGAGTGTAGCACGCCATCCCTTACACTTTCCAGCTCAGGGTTACCCTCGCTACCAATGGACGAAATTTCAGGGTCACAGCTTGCGCAACGGCTTTGTCCTGTGCGAATGGCCACTCGACATACTCAGCACAAATTTTCTATTGCATGCATGCACAAAATGTTCAACTTTCGTATTTTTGGCGACTTTACCATCGTCGTGGAGGCTGGTTGGTGAGGAGCAGGTAGCCATCCCTTGTGGAATCAAACACATGGTTCCACAGTGTGGCTGATTCCGCAAGAGCCAGGTCCATACGAGGAACATTCGCTTTGTCTTTTGCCATCGAAGTAAGTCACTTTTCTTGTTCTCAGTGTTTTTTACGTTCAACGTTTCTGAGATTTTTGAATTATTCACTTTTCATTCTTTCATACTTTATTTCTTCATGTTCACTGCCTCACTTGCCTGCTGATCTGGAGAATGTGACGGAGGTGACTGTTGGTTACTGCCTGGTATAACGGTTGTCGTGCTGTTGCTGTATTTCCGTCCTGCTCGCGACGTTGTAGATCACAAACAATTTGAAATCACATGAATTGTACTTACCGTCGTGCGTGCGGTATTAGGAAACACTGTGCAGATTAGATCGTCGCAATGTATCTATATGTGTGTCTGGTCATCCTGTGCCACGCAAGAACTCCAACCAGATGCATTCGTCCTCGGCCCTGTTGATCGATTGTCCACTCGTCTTTCCTTGAAGAACGATTGATCAAAAAAAATCGAGCTCGAGGACTTTTTGCAAAAAAACGGCTGAAAAAAGGAAGAAAAAAGGGTGCTCAGAATGAGATTCGAGTACACAACCATGGTCCCAGCAGTTTATGTGGATGTCGCTCATAGATGCGCGATTTCGCGCAATGAGTGGTACGACCCTTCCTACACAATGTCTACTTGTTACGGAAGGTCAAAAGCTGCGGTGGTCTCGCAGCTCACTTCCGCCCCAAACAAAAATATTTTCATTGCGCTCTGCATTATTTCGCCCCAGAGCGCGTACCGTATTTTACCGGTTGTTAGTCGACCCCGGTTATAGGTCGACCCCCGTATCCGGAGGTCTCAATTCTGTTTTAAAGGTTTCACCCAAAGAAGCATTACTAACCACTCCCTGCTATTAACACATCAACAAATCATGTAAACATTCCTTATTGGAGATTATAACATCCCAATCCTTGAAAAGACCAATAAACTGGAAAAAATGTGTACACATAGTGCACTCGTGCATGCAGTGCAGGTCATTTTTTGTAAGATTCTGATAGTTCCTGGTTATAAGTCGAATCCCGGTTGTATGTCGACCCTCACCCTTTCTCCTTCTATTTTAAGTCGTAAAAGGTCGACTTACAACCGGAAAAATACGGTATCTTCTTTCTGGAGTTTCTTCCGGCCCACATCGTTCGCGGGGCATTTGTCAAGACTGCAAGCTCGGGTATAAGAATCCTGGTATCTCCCCTGAATTCGAAATGCTGAAGTTAACGATGGCAAGAACAAAGTGTTCTCAAATTCCTAAAAAAGGCTACATGTGGTGCATGTTGCGGAAGGTACCAGGACTGAAAAAAACACCCACAAAATCAACGACGCGCTCATCAAGGAATGAAGGTACGGAGCTGCTTACTCTATCCTGCAGGAAGGTCGTTACGGAGGACTTCAAAAATGCCAGTTTCCCATCATCGCCTGCCACCTGGAGGCATGGATCGCTTGAAATGAAAGTTTCATGACCAGAATTTGAACACGCATCTTGTTCAGCGTCTTATTGAGTACTGAAGGGTCTGCCTCAAAACTCTGGTGAAGACGTCGTCCTCGGCCACATGTGCAGCAAAGCGGGACGACGCCACAAACTCAAGCTTATTCCGTCGACAATGCTCTGCCACAATTTGTAGCTGGTTTCTTTGCTTCGGGAGAACAAAATATGAAGTAGTGGTTGCGACTTCGGCGATGATTTGTAAGAAATGGTTTGCTCCCCACACCGGAGCTCGCGCTATTCCGCCGACTTTACTTGACACTTGACTGACTCACGACTGCCATCCAGAGCACACGAGAAGTCCATCGAACCTTCGACTCGGCAAACCTGCAAGAAAGCACCACTCCCTGCTCAATACACAGTGTTTCGGGGAATTCACCCCTCATCAGTTGAGCTTGAGTAGGCTGAGGAAGATTGTGCCTGAAGAGTGTTGTGTCATGTACTGACATAAGGAAGTAGTTTATTTTACAGACAGATGAGTGTAGATATAGTGAAGAGTCAGGGAGGCCATGCCCAGCAGAGCATGGTATCATGCGTAGTACGGGGGTAGTGAGAGGTCACGTACCGTCTATACATGGCGACAGACAGGGGAAGGACTATGCCGTGAATGGGTGAAAGGATAACATGATACAGGATAGGACATCTCCCCCTTTTTGAAAAACAATTAAAGAGAGCAAAAACACAACAGCTGGGGAAAAAACTGTTATGGAGAAAAGGCAAGACAGATACATGTACGGGTTGTACATAGCCGGGCACATAGAACAGAACTATGCAATGTGCGGGAGCCAGAGAGAGTTATATGGTAGCGATCAATCTCTGCGGTGGCTGGATGTCGTTGCGAGCACGGAGAGTTGGCTGTGACGTAGGCACAGGCTGTTGTTGCGGGACTAGCGCGGCCGGTGGTACTGCTGGCACCGGTCCGGGAGGAGTCACTGGCTGGAGCAACTTCACTGCACGGCGGTTTCGGCGCAGAAGACCGGATGAGGTGGCGATGTTGTAGGAGCGATCGGTGAGTTGCTCAACCACTGTACCCTCGCGCTTGTCGTCGACCCACACTTTCGCTCCCAGTGGCAGAGGGGAGAGCGACTTTGCTGCGAAGCATTGATCGAAGTGATCTTCTTGCCGATGCTTAGCCTCCTGCTCCTTGGCCCGGAGAGCGGTGCTGTCTGGCCAGGAGGGTTGCAGGAGATCAGGTGGGCACGGAAGATTGGTGCGGAGCCTGCGGCCGTACAAGAGTTCGGCGGGCGAATAGCCGTTGGACAGGGGTGTGGAGCGATACGCTAAGAGGGACTGCTGTAGATCACCTGGCGCACGGATGAGTCGTTTGGCAGTCTGCACGGCGCGTTCTGCTTCGCCGTTGCTTTGAGGATGCTTCGGGCTGCTGGTCCGATGCGTGATGTTGCACGACGACATAAACTGTGCAAGGGCGTCGGAAGCGAATTGTGGCCCGTTATCGCTGACGAAGATGTCCGGATAGCCGTGGACAGCAAATATGCTCTTCAGATGAGTAATGACGGCCCGTGACGTAGTCGATGAGAGACAAGCGACATCAATGTAACGGGAGAAATAGTCGACAGTAATCAGGTACTGGCGGCCGTCGACATCACAGAGATCCGATGCGATACGCTGCCACGGGCGCTCGGGGAACGGAGTTGTCTGAAGAGGCTCTGGAGACTGATGACGCTGCTTGATACAGGTAGTGCACTTGGCGACGTACGCCTCGATGTCGGCAGAGATACCTGGCCACCACGACGAGAAGCGGGCACGGGCTTTACTCTTCGTGACACCTTGGTGACCATCGTGCAGCTTCTGGAGGATCTCAGGCTGTAGCACGGACGGAACAACCAGGCGAAAGCCGTGGCACAAGACACCTTGCATGTGAGACAACTGGCCTCGCTCACGATGGAACGGCTTGATGTCGTCAGGGACGGTAGCAGGCCAGCCATGGATGACGTAGCGCATCACACTGGATAACACGGGATCTTCAGACGTAGCCTTGGCTAGGTCGGCGAGAACGGATGGACTTGTGAGATCTTCAGCAGTGGTTGATAAAACCATGCCGATGTCGTCTTGCAGAACGTTGTCAACTGATGCCGATGCTGGCGCTCGTGAAAGCGTGTCAGCCACCACCAGATCCTTGCCGGGAACGTGTATGGCATGGACTTCGTACCGGAGGAAGCGGAGCAGCATTCGTTGGCATCGGATGGGAACCTTGTCCAGGTCTCTGGTGTTGATCAGTGGCACTAGCGGCTTGTGGTCCGTCTGCACGATGAACCTGGGAGCGCCGAAGAGGTACTGGTCTAACCTCTCGCACGTCCACACCGCTGCGAGGCATTCCTTTTCGATCTGCGCGTAGCCTTGTTCCGTCTTGGTCAGGGAACGGGAGGCGTAGGCCACTGGGCGCCAGTCGCCATCGTGCTTCTGGAGCAGAACACCACCAATGCCATAGCTGCTGGCATCGGCACTGACCATGATGGGACGCTTGGGGTCATAGTGCACTAAGCACGGGGCTGAAACGATGAGCTCTTTCAGCCGACGGAACGCGTCCTGCTGCGGGGAGTCCCAGAACCAATCAGTGTCGGTGTGCAGGAGCTGACGGAGGGGCGCTGAGATCGTAGCCAATTCCGGGATGAATCTGGCGACGTAGGTGAAGAGACCTAAGGCACGGCGAAGCTCAGGAACATTCGTAGGCTCCTCGAGGTCGTCAATGGCGGAGATTTTGCTGGGGTCGGGTTTCACACCGGACCCGCTGACAATGTGTCCCAGGTACTTAACTGACGACTGCTTGAGGTGGCATTTGTCGGGGTTTAGAGTGATGCCTGCGTCGGCAAGGACCTGGCGCGTTGTGTCCAGCCGGTGGTCGTGTTCAGCTTCGTTAGCGGCGTGGACCAGAACGTCGTCCATGAATACCTCGGAACCTTTGACGTGGGAGAGGAAGTCCTGCAGGCGTCGCTGGAAGATTTCCGGTGCAGAGGTTATACCGAATGGCATCCGGAGGAATCGGAACCGACCCACAGGCGTGATGAACGTGGTCAGCTTGGATGCAGACTCCGTGAGAGGCACTTGCCAGAAGCCGCTGTTGGCATCCAGCGTGGAAAAGACAGTAGATCCGGCGAGCCTAGCCAGTGTGTCCTCAACTGTCGGAAGAGGGAAGTGCTCGCGCTTCACGTTGCCGTTCAGCTTCTTTAGGTCTACGCAGATCCGTACGCGACCATTAGGTTTACGAACCGGCACCATAGGAGAGCACCAGTCAGAGGGACCCGTTTCCCGGACGATGATGCCCATTTCCTCCATACGTGCGAGCTCTTCTGTGACCTTGTCCTGTAGAGGCAGAGGCACACGGCGGGCAACACCACAGTGGTACGGCGTGGCGTCGTCCACGAGCTTGATATCAGCTGGGGGCCCAACCATACAACCGATGGGCTGTGCTGGCTTGCTGGTACACGATTCTGCTGCATCTAAACGCTGGATCAGGCGAAGTCGGAGGCAGTCTCTGCGACTCAACAGGTTGGTAGATCCAGGACCATCGATAACTACGATCTCCATAGAGAACAGTTCACTCTTGTGCATGGTGTCTGCAGTGAACTGACCCTTGATGGATAGAGGTGCACCAGATGGACCAAGGAGTTTGGTAGTGGATGCTGTGAGTACAGGGCGTTGTACGAGATTCTGATACGTGGAGTGCGTGATACATGATACATCTGCACCTGTGTCGATCTTGAATATCAAATTTGTCGAGCAAACAGGCAGACTTACTGACCAGGCGTCGGTGGACTGGGAAGGACTGGCGTTGGATGACAGCTCTGCAACACCACCCATGAATGGCGACGGGGACGCGAGCGATTCATCTTCGACAGCTCTGGCACCACGCGTGGTTGCTGGAGTGGAAAGACAGACGGCGGCGAAGTGGCCCTGCTTGCCGCATGAATTACACTTGCGACCAAACGCAGGACACGCAGAACGGTTACTCTTGTGCGAACCAGCGTGGCCACACCACGGACATGTTGAAGCTGCAGTGCCGCTCTTCCTCTGCGTGGACGGCGTTGGTGCAGGCTTCGACGGAACGCCGCTGCGCTGGTGGCGACTCCTTGCATCTTGCTGCTTTCCTCCAAAGCGGGATGCAGCATTGACCTGCGGCCTGGCGGCTTGCGCTGCAACGTCTCCGGAAATTTTCTCGGCCTGCCTGGCCCTGAGAACTGCGTCGATGAGGGTGAGTTTTGCGGGCTCAATCAGCTGCAACTCCTTGGCGACTTGACGATCCAGAATGTGAGCCACGAGGCGATCTCGAATTCTGTTGTACTTCTGGTCACCAAAGTCACAGAACTTCGCTGCTGCGTGAAGTTTCCGAACAAATTCTTCCACGGACTCTCCTGGAAGATGGACGCACTGTTCGAAGATGGTCCTCTGGTGAAACACGTTCAATGCTGGCGTAAAGTAAGCGTCCAGCTTCGTCATGACCTTGTCATACTTGTCCTCGTCTCCAACGGTGTCGAATACCAGTTGATCGAAGACAGTTTCGGCCTCAGGGCCCAGCGAGTAGAGCAACGTAGAGATTTGCACTTTCTCGTCTTTCGCGTTGAGCTCTGAGGCGAGGCGATATCTCGCAAACCGGCGTTTCCAAGCCGGCCAGGCATCTGGAATGGAGAAATCAAAGTCTGGAGGCGGCGCGAACTTGGCCATTTCTACTCGAAGTGTAGACCTGGTTGACTAACTTCTGACACCATGTTGTGTCATGTACTGACATAAGGAAGTAGTTTATTTTACAGACAGATGAGTGTAGATATAGTGAAGAGTCAGGGAGGCCATGCCCAGCAGAGCATGGTATCATGCGTAGTACGGGGGTAGTGAGAGGTCACGTACCGTCTATACATGGCGACAGACAGGGGAAGGACTATGCCGTGAATGGGTGAAAGGATAACATGATACAGGATAGGACAAAGAGCACCACGTATATAGTGCTCTCCAGGCACAAACATTACCAGGGATACAAACGTACAGAGACGCTCCGTTTCCAGCGCGACAAACACCTCGTGAACACCAGATAGCAGCGTGAGTCAGTGTCGCTTCTGGATGGTGAGACAGACGTCGAGGACCCTCGGTCATTCGCAACGCTGTCACCTCCAAACCAACTAGTCGCAAGCCCGCGCTGAGCACAACAGTACGAAGTAGTGGTTGCGACTTCGGCGATGATTTGTAAGAAATGGTTTGCTCCCCACACCGGAGCTCGCGCTATTCCGCCGACTTTGCTTGACACTTGACTGACTCACGACAGGGAGTATTCAAGTTCGTACTGATGAAAATCGACTCTTTGGAATTTGATTTTTTCTGAAATGAATTTGTGAAAAGCAGTGATTGAGTGTGAGCCAGTGTTGCTCACAAGCCAATTTTTTCTCTTTCGAGACTTTTGCTATCATTGGAGAGATTGCGCACCACAAAAATTCGTAAGATTTCGACATTCCGGGTTCGAGTAACGAAAGTTGCACCGAAAATTCGTTCAAACGCGACCGAAACAGAGCATATCAACGAAAATATTTTCGCAACGCGGAGTACTAAAATACTGATATTTTACAACTCCCTGTCCTGACTCGACGCACTCGCGCGCGTGCCGCATCGGCGTACTACGAACAAGTTCACACGTTGTGCGCAACCTCATGGTTTACAAATATTCGTTAGCTTCTTTCGTTAAAAAATATCCGTTAGGGCGCTACGTATTTTCGTTGTGCGCAACCTCTCTAGTGTCTCAGAAAACTCGTACTATATCTGCACTTCCTGAGATTTCTTCCCAGGGGCTTCCCTAATCATGAGGCGCACATCGCGTGTGCATGCAGTGTCCTCTCCAAGGTTTATACCACTCTCTGATGTGCGGGTGTCAAATGCGCATGATCAGACTAAAGCACAAGCCGGCAACAGCGGACACGTGAAAACAAACAATAAAGTAAGAAATAGATTTGACAAAGAAAAGGTGTACACAACTCACCCGGTCTTTAGCTTCGGAGTAGAATTTGGCTTCCAAACAACTGCAAGCCTGGCCAATACCCTTGTACTGCCAAGGCTGTATGCTAGGACAAGTCCGGACCATCTTCTCAAATCTGAAGCGAAAACATTTCAATTAATGCACGAGCCGGTGGGTACTTGCATAGAAAATGTCATTGGGCAGAGATGAGAAAACAGATGTCCACAAAACCCTTATTAGCTTAGGAGAACTACTTGCCCTTAGGCTTAGTTAGAGCTTGCGCTGCAGTTGACACATGGCCGATACTCTGTGCTGATGCACCCCACGACGGCGTTTGCTCCTTGATATCAGACCTCTACAACGAGGCAATGCAACTAGTATAAACATGGATGTGGTGGCTCCGCCAAGCACACTCAAGCCTGACAATGAAAAAAGACCTCACACTCTTTGGATGACACCCCAACGGATGGATTCCCTTGGGATAACACTCATGCCAACGTTCATTCGCCACAGGTGGACAAACGCAAACGTCCAATAGAATGAGCCCGATACCAGACCAGTATAACAAGGGAATGTAACTAGTATTGCAATGCATGTGGATGCTCTGCCAAACAGACGCAAAACCTGACAATGACAATAGAACTCACACTATACGAATGGTATTCTGGCGACGAGCATCGGAACAATTATCATGCTAAGGTTGATTGGCCACAGCCCGATACCAGACCAGTATAACAAGGCCATACAACTAGTAACTAGTCTTAACATGTATGTGGACGTTTCGCCAAGCACACTCAAACCTGACTATGGAAACAGCACTCACGCCGCAATGATGACTCTCAAGCGGAGAGGGTCGGGAAAGGTCCAACGTTTCATCGGCGCACGTGGATGAACTTTCACCGAACTTAATCTGTAGAGTACCCAAAGCATCATAGTCAGAGAAAACATTACATTTTATGTCATCATAGTCAGAGAAAACCTTACATGAGCCTGGATCAGCAAAAACCATCACATGTGCAAAATTTTCGAAAAATATTTTGTGCTCCAAATTGATCCACAACCACTGATAAAGAGTTGGTGGACAAGCCGTTGATTATTCACTCTCATTGTAATATCAAAAAGTATTCTTTCTAGACCAAAGAGTGGTATATTTGATAACATTTAATAACGATAGAAATTTTTACGATCCTTCTCCAGACGTTTCGTTGTTCTGAACAACATCGTCAGTGGATAAAGATCATCGTTATTAAATGTTATCAAATATACCACTCTTTGGTCTAGAAAGAATACTTTTTGATAACCACTGATAACCAGTCTCAAGAAATTTTAGATCAATCGCAGCACTGTAAGTGACCAAAAAATGCGGTACACCACATCGCTGTATGGCAAATGTTGGAAGTGGCATTTCTGTGTAGGATGCAAGTATGAGCGTTGGTATGTGTCTGATCCTGTTAGGCATTGCCATCACTCAGCCAGCTAACAAGGAGGAATTTATAGTCCTTGGGGGTGTACTCAAACACTGGCTTGTCCAAGTAAATCATTGGCTTCACTGACTATCGCGCAGCTACCGGCATATGGCCAAGTTCCAGGGGCTGATATTGCAGCCTGCAGTCTTCAGCCTCGCCGAGTCACTTTGCGGCAGGAGAGAGTGGTCCTCTGGAGCTCCGCGGCTTTCACCTGACTCCCTTGATGAGCAATCACCATTCCAGTCATCACCAAAAATGTCGTGTCGTGATTGGCGTCAACGACGATCGATGCGTGTGCGATGCTCGCGCCCCGCGATCGTACCTATTCGCCAGCCAAGCTCAGGTACGTGGGGTTTCCCAGCCGTGTCTCCTCACTTGCCTGGGGCTTGCCTAGCTAGCTAGTCACTGACAAACAAACAAACGCGGGCTTGTCAGGCGGAAAGACTAGTGACAAGAAAGACAGAAAGGTGATGGGTAGTTGTTAGGTTCGCGACTTTTCTTTCGCTCGACTTCAACGTCACTTTTTGATCAACTTGATATCAAACACAAGTGATGGTTTTCGCTGATCCGGGCTCACATCATAGTCAGAGAAAACATTAGCAGGAGCAGCAACGTCAAGTCTTTTAAAAGACACATAACACTGCACTGCAGGAAGCTGTTCGTGAGCAAGATTTCTTATGGCAACCGACAGTGTGTGTATGTCACTCCAACATCAAACACAACATGTGGTGTATGCACACCTTAGTCACAGTAATGCGTACTGGGTGGTGCGCATCTTGATTGCACGTAGGTCGTGCCTGGCAGGCTGCGCTGCCGTAGTGTAGGTTCATTTTCTGCAGTTATTTTATTTGTGATTTTTTGTATTCTTTGTCGTCACCCCGTCGGAGGTGCCATTCAGGTGGCTATGCTGCCTTTAGAGGCAGAGCAGGGTCAGCTCCCGTGGAAGGGCTGGTAATTGGCTGAGACTGTGTGCTCCAGGTGTTTCTGTTTTCTGCTACTTTCCTTCTCGCTCTTTGTTTCTAGTTATCGCGCCGCCTCGGCCCCGACTTCGGTGTACTTCGCCATGACGGGGTCGGAGTGCTCTCTCCCTGCTAATCCGTTGCCTCCCCCGCTTTGTCTTGTGGCATCCCCGGAATTTCTGACACCCCCACTGCCTCGTCGTGCGTTCAACAGTTGTGGCCCCGCACACTTTCTGTTTTTATTGTCGCCTGTTTATGTTGCTCCACATATAATTTCACACGTCTTTCTGTGTTCTTCTCCGGTCTGTCTTCTTCCCTTTTTTATACACTCCAATTTTGTTTGCTTCCACCCACAGGAGTGGATGTTTTTTTGGTAGGGGATGGTGTGGCTGCGCTCGTACCTCTTCGTTCTACATGCGGCTGCACAAGAATTTCGAAATTTCACCGGTGGAAGGTACTACGAAGAGAGTTTCAAAAATATATGTATGGTTTGCCGCTCGGTCGTTCCACCAACAGCATTCAAACTTTGCAGGATGGTCCAGACCTACATGCTAGGCATGGCGTCACACGGTCTGATGTCATAGCTGACACACAAAGTCATGCACACAACACATTCGCGTGCACAGATACTTAAAGGGGAAGTATACCCTAAAATCAAATTTTCACCAGTTGTAGTCTTCGGGGTGCTGAGTCGAATGGTCTTGGTCCGAGGAAGCTGAGACGCTCCCTTCCTACTTGAATCCCAATCGAACTCGCGCACTTCCACCGAAACTGGGTGACTGCGCCCTACTAGATGGGGATTTGTATGCAAAATGTCACTAAAAGCGCCATTTCGTTCTTATAAAAGCACGGATGACCGCGATTGGCCCATATGTTGTAGTCTTTTGCACGCTCAGTCGACTGGTTTTGGTCCGAAAAGGCTGCGATGCAGCGTTCCTCCTTTATTCCCAATCGAACATGGTTGAACAAGTGGTCACGTGCTCCTGCGTACACCAGTCACCTGGTCACCGTGCCTGCAGGGTACAACTTACTAGCCTGTTTGACCTTTTTTGGGTGCAGTCCTGTCACTCGAGTTGAACTCGAGTTGAACCTTGGTGTGAAAGTTGTCGCCTGCTGGCGCGGTGACCAGGTGATTTGGGCACCCAGGAGCACGTAACCGCTTGTTCAACCATGTTCGATTGGGAATAAAGGAGGAACGCTGCATAGCAGCCTTTTCGGACCAAAACCAGTCGACTCAGCGTCCAAAAGACTACAATATATGGGCCAATCGCGGTCATCCGTGCTTTTATAAGAACGAAATGGCGCTTTTAGTGACATTTTGCATACAAATCCCCATCTAGTAGGGCGCAGTCACCCAGTTTCGGTGGAAGTGCGCGAGTTCGATTGGGATTCAAGTAGGAAGGGAGCGCCTCAGCTTCCTCGGACCAAGACCATTCGACTCAGCACCCCGAAGACTACAACTGGTGAAAATTTGATTTTAGGGTATACTTCCCCTTTAATTACTGGACGTCGTCATCTTCTACCCGCTGGTCACAAATGTACTATGATGCGCTATTTCGCCTGACACCAAACATCAGCATTGAAGACAGCCCTCGAACTTCTCAACTTGGTAGAGCTAGATATTTCTGCCTTGATTAGCTAATAGCGTGCACATCCCTTCTTTGTATATATTGCTATTGGCAACTTGGCATTTCCTTCTCAGTCTCTCCCGGACTCGGTCACTGCAAAACCTAGCCTCTTCTTCATTATCTTTTCTTCGTAGTTGTAGTCTCTGTAACCCGTGGGTTCAGTCCTCGGTCCTCCCCTCTCTGTCGACTTCAGGTAAGGAATTTAAGTTCCTGTTTCAAGCAGTAATAAAAAATACAACAACAAAAAAACTTACCTAAGCACTTGCAGACTCAACTACAGCCATTAACATATTTTGTTCATTGTCAACCCTGAGAACATTTGGTGAACAGTTTAATTTAAGGTAGCTCATACCGAAATACCTTCACCTGTTTAACACCTTTTTTGCAATGCTAGGGGTGTCCAGAATGAGAAAATCAATATATTAGGGTAAGTAATTGGGCACTTTGGAGGGGATATGGCCACTCGAAGTAGCCCAAACAAGGCGTTCTCTAAGAAAGAGACAGGTTTACATTAGCGAGGTTTTGCATTCCGAAATTCGGCAAAAAGATTCGGCACGCGGGAGCGAGGTCGAAAATGCACACGAAGATTCGGCGTGTTTGTTCGGAAAAAGCTCACTTTGTCGAAAATATTTTTCGGATGCATTTTCTTGTAGAAGAGCGCTAGCGCATGATTTATTCAAAGCGGTTTCTTATCTCGGCATCGCTTGGCAGGCGTCTTTGGCGACATAGCATCGTCAGCTACCTCTGATTGCTCCTCTCCACTGCCTGTCTACTCTCTTTCGCCTTGAGTGTCCTCACCGGTCACCGTCATCTGTGTGGCTGAAAAGACTATGGCGACACGCATAAAATTTGACTTGGCCATGGAGTTGGTTTTTCTGAGGCGACTGAGGAGGCAGGTTTGGCCCTCGACTCTTTGGGCGATCAAAGTTCGTAGGAATCAGCAAGAAAAGGAGCACGGGACAGGACGTTGCTGCTGCTGGGGCTCACGAAATGAAAACACATCATTTTCGACTTGCAAAACAAACGTTGGTGCATTTTGATGTTCGACAAATGACCGAAGAACGCTGTACCGAAATTCGGAATGCAAAACCTCACTAATGACAATAAAATGCTTCCAACCTTCATCAGTTGCTTCTTGCAATCATGTCAGTAATTCCCATAGTATCAAAACATGTCAGGGTGGGTTTATCAGCAAAAATACACTGGTTGAAAGTACAGGCTTCTGTGTGAGGAGACGAAACAGGAATTCCGAACGCTAATTCGATATGGTTCCAAAATGTTTTGAAATTTAAATTTTTGCAAAATTGGCCCAAAAATGATTGTGTTTTTCTTGCTTTTTGCATGGCACTGCGTCAGTATCATAAAGTTACGTCAAAATGATGTTAGGTCATTGGACTCGTTTATATTTATTACAACATCTCAAGACTCAGTGGAAACACCGGCCAATGTTAAAGGGGAAGTATACCCTAAAATCAAATTTTCACCAGTTGTAGTCTTCTGGGTGCTGAGTCGAATGGTCTTGGTCCGAGGAAGCTGCGACGCTCCCTTCCTACTTGAATCCCAATCGAACTCGCGCACTTCCACCGAAACTGGGTGACTGCGCCCTACTAGATGGGGATTTGTATGCAAAATGTCACTAAAAGCGCCATTTCGTTCTTATAAAAGCACGGATGACCGCGATTGGCCCATATGTTGTAGTCTTTTGGACGCTGAGTCGACTGGTTTTGGTCCGAAAAGGCTGCGATGCAGCGTTCCTCCTTTATTCCCAATCGAACATGGTTGAACAAGCGGTCACGTGCTCCTGGGTGCCCAAATCACCTGGTCACCGCGCCAGCAGGTGACAACTTTCACACCAAGGTTCAACTCGAGTTCAACTCGAGCGACAGGACTGCACCCAAAAAAGGTCAAACAGGCTAGTAAGTTGTACCCTGCAGGCACGGTGACCAGGTGACTGGTGTACGCAGGAGCACGTGACCGCTTGTTCAACCATGTTCGATTGGGAATAAAGGAAGAACGCTGCATCGCAGCCTTTTCGGACCAAAACCAGTCGACTCAGCGTCCAAAAGACTACAACATATGGGCCAATCGCGGTCATCCGTGCTTTTATAAGAACGAAATGGCGCTTTTAGTGACATTTTGCATACAAATCCCCATCTAGTAGGGCGCAGTCACCCAGTTTCGGTGGAAGTGCGCGAGTTCGATTGGGATTCAAGTAGGAAGGGAGCGTCGCAGCTTCCTCGGACCAAGACCATTCGACTCAGCACCCAGAAGACAACTGGTGAAAATTTGATTTTAGGGTATACTTCCCCTTTAAGAGAGTGGGTGATTGCCAACCTGCCCGCTGTTTGCAGAAAAATGCAAAGACATGATCGTCTCTCGTAATTGATCCCAGTGTATTCGCCTCAACAATGTGTGATTATAGTGGTCCTGAATTCCAGAAAAAGGATTAAAATGCACTTATATCATAGTTTAGTACAAACGTGCCTCATAGAAACAAATGAAAAGCGAACTCTTGCTTGCAAAAGTACGTTTTTTGCTAAATTTGCGACATAAATGCAAACGTATGGGTGTGTCTTTCACAGGCCCCAAATACAGGGAAGGATTCATTACACACTACCCAAATTTTGGGATTAACAGCTTGCCCTCATGATGCTTCAACCCTGGAAATTTGAACAAAATCGGAGAAAGTGGTTTTTGGACAGTATTTTGAGCGTTTGTTGAGGGAACCATGAAGATGAGAAAACAACCCTGATTACTATGTTTTGATAACCGAAATAGGTAAACTAGCAGTGATCAAACAGTGTTCAAACAGTGCTCAAACTAAGCGGTTGAGTGTATCACTCAACAGCACTTGATTTGCAGCCCAATCTCTTCTTTTATTGTTGTTGTTCTGATTTGCATTATTTTATTTTTTATTTTTTTGCCATGGCTGGCTATAATCGCCCTCACGTCCTCCTTGATTGGCCTTGGCCATGAGTGTGTGCGTAATAATATTAATAATAAGAAGAAGAAGGATGGAATGTACTTCATTTGCAAACTAAAAAAAATAGGCATACTTCTGTACAATCATCACTCGAAAAGAAGGCAAAGGTTAGTTCACTGGAGAAGTAGAGAGAGAGGCACAGACAAGAAGACCCATAGTTAACAATGGAAAACTTACATTTGCTTGATATACTCATTGTTGGCCGTGGGGTGAGCACCTGGCTGTTGCATATTGCCAGCACCAACATGACCTGTAGGCAACCCAGCATTGGGTAGCAGGCCAGGATTACCACCATTTATACCCGAACCACGAGAAGCTGAACCGATGTGGTTACCACCAGATGGAAGCATGACATGGTTCGGCAAACTGCTGGACACAGCCGAACCATTATGAAGACCGTGATTAGGAATACCAAGCAGCGATGTTGCACCAGCAGATCCGGCACCAGCAGATCCGGCACCAGCAGATCCGGCACCAGCATCAACAACATTCCCTGGCGAACGTAGCATTCCCATGCCTGGCTCCACTTTGATCATGGAGGCAGCATCTGTTGCTGGGTTTAGTCCATTTACCGGCATGCCCGGTGTTGAGTTCACGCCAGTCGAAATATCTGTACAAAAAACAATATAGCCCCGTAGTTCCATAACTGAGTTGTCTGGTGGTTAAACCAGAGAACAGGTATGCGAGGGACACAGACCCCTACGTCATTTTGTTCACTGCCCTGAACTCAACCATCATAATTATACACATCTCCAGAGTGTTTTGTGTACGTGACTTGAGTGAGCATGATACCATGTAGGTTGCAACATTGTATGTCACAGTACCAGTCATGTACTTGGTCCGCGTCAGCGATATTGTCGCTTATCTTTCAGGTTTGTTTATATGTCGCCAATGCTCACTTGGCAGCCCATTTCATCCCAATTTTGGTTAGTAAGTTAGTTTACTAGTATCTGAAAGGTCTAGCTAGAGTTCGAGTGGATTTCGAGAGCGACGGGTGGGTGATTCTGATTGATACAGCGCCGCATCAAAATAGATTATCTTGTTACGCTGTGCAGGCAAGAGCAGCGCAAGCCACAAGAAAGTAATCGGCTACTCGGAATCAGCTCTATTTTGCTTAACGGCCGAGATCGCTCACCTCAGGGATCGCTCGTCAAGCTGAGAATCACTGAGATCGCAGCTCCCTTACCTCCAGCTCAACGCTCGGAGTATCCAGTGCGTCGCGGAGATTTGCAAGTACTGTACGCGTCGTCGTCGTTGTTCAAAATAAAATCTTGCAAAGAACGGCGTCTGATTTGAACCACACAGGCTGTCGTGCTGCCCACGCGAAGTTCTATAGAGAAGGCGACCGTCACGATCGACTTCTCTTTAGAAAATAGCCAGGCAGCGCAAAAGAAGGTAGATGAGCTTGCAAAAGCAAGAGAGTCGATCCCGAGCAAAAATATTTGTCACCAGCGCCGAGAGCAGCGACGAGGAGGCTGTAAATGCTGTAAATGCGCTGCATGGTGCTCCATGTCGTGCGATGCGTCGCAGATGTGCATATCTCCCACTGGAAACAGAGAAAAGTAAAGGCCCATCGTATTTTTGAGTTCACCATCGTATTCAAATGAACTTGCGAAAATATAACGGACAACTTGCGTGACACCTTGCTGGTGAGGTGATCTACGTGTGGAACAAATGAGAGCTTGTTTTTGTACAGTCGTCCCTCTCTAATCCGGCACTTGTTTATCCGGAACCCTTGCCAACCGGCGCATTTTCTGACGAAACCAATTTTTTTCGTTCAATTCCTACATCTTAATCCGGCACTTGAATTCCGCCTCCGGCAGTGACTTTTTGAAACGAATCGCTCAAACTGCACGTAGTTTGATTTCATAATCCGGCAGTCGTAAATCGCGTACCGTACAGGTGCACTCCTTGCCAGGCCAGGCTAGGCTTGCCCAGGAGACAACGGCAGTCAACCATACTTTCTTATTTTTATTTAGCAAGGAGTAGTGTCCTGCCAATTTTCAGGTGTGTGTGTGTGTGCGTGTGTGTGCAAGAGTACATGTGAACATGTTCTCTGTTTTACTTTATCACTGTGTATATTCCCGGAGAACAATTGAGAATATAAAGCCGTGCACCAAATAATTGGGTTGACACGGAAAAACCCTGCGTTTGACATACATATGATACATGCATGCAATTGGGTAGGGCCGGGTCAGAGGGCAGGATTTCTTAATCCAGCACCCTCGTTAATCCAGCAGAAAATGCCGTAGCAAAAGGTGCCGGATTAGAGAGGGACGACTGTACCAAAATGTTACTTTGCGCGTCAGCTTTCAACTCCCGCGGATTTAGTATCAAAAATGTGGGGCTAGCGGCAGTAAATCGCGGAAGAATGATAGCAACTCACCTTAATCTCAACGTAAAAATGATTAATCTTTGATTTTTTGCAAAAATCAGCGGGTACCCCCGCCATGTTAGATGGCCAAAAATCGCTGGCTGAAACAGCCGTGAGGCTGTCATGGAACAACCCACATTCATGTTGAGGTAAGTATTAGTTTGGTTGAGCCCGAACAGATTCTCCACGGAAGCCATGCGTGTGAGAACGTTGCCAACTGGAACTCACGAGTCAAATGAAAAAAATCTAACACATCACTACGGAGGATTAGCAAGACGAAATTCGCGTTCGCGTTCGCAAACATTTTTCAGTTCGCGAACTGGATTGCGAACTTTCGCATTTTTCGTTCGGAAAAGTAGTCGGAACACGAATCGTGGATTCGTGTCAGGGCAGTCATAAATTTACCACGCTGTACTGCCTACGTCGTGTCAACATCATGCATGTGCGAATTCTGTTTGCTAATCCTTCTCATAACGCGAATTCCGTCACTGAGTTCGACTTTCTTTGGAGAGCGAACGCGAACGCGAATTTCGTCTTGCTAATCCTCCGTACTTGCTCGAAACTGACACCGTGACGAAGTGGAGCGCGCAGCTGGAACACGGAGTCCACTGGCACTCGCTGCCCTGCAGCTGGCCAGGCTCGTACTTACGCCAAAAAAATAAGTAATTAGTTACGGTCCGCGGCCCCATACTCGGAGTGAGAACATAAATCGGTTACGCTCGCACTGCAAGATGAAACATTTCAGTCGTCGTGCAACCAGCGCAGACTCCGGATCGGAATGTCGACGACCTGGCATCCTTCGCCTCTCTACAGTCAGACGTCTCCTTCATCACCAAGGGGAATCGCAGGGACCTCTTTTGAAACCGTTTTAGACTGTTTCGATTCGTACACAGCTCTGGAAATAAAGAGGACGTAGCCAAAGTCCCGCGTCGGATCATCACGGCAGCTGAAAAGAATCGGAACAAAATGCGATCGGAAGCAGCGACTGATGGCGATGCGGAGTCAGCGTCGTCAGGTGACAATGACACGAGCGACGAAGACTCTGAATAAACTCAATCTCATTCGTCTGACTTGCTTTTTTCTATGAATATAGCTTGTAGACAATGCCACGAGTGTTATTCCAAGTCAAACGGAACAATTCACGAGCTGTGCTCATCCTTCAAAAAAAAAGACACGAAGTTTTTGTATACGGAGGAAGCAAAGCTTTTTTTCTGAACGTTCAGGGTGATAGATCTCCACCAAAAACGAAATAGTACGTAACAAGCCTGCTGGTGGAGTAGGGTCCAGCGGATAATGCCGACATTCAATAATTATTGTATTCGGCATTATAAGTTATAACACTATCCGAGCATCAGGGCATTATGGAGCATTAGAATCAACTCGTAAAAACTCCAAGTCAATCTCCCATTGACACAAACCTCGTTTATTGAACATAATCATATCCTATCCAATAAAAACAGTTCATAAAAACAGTTCATAAAAACAGTTCATAAAAACAGCTTTTTAGGATCGGACCCAGTCCGCATACCGTAATGTCGCGTGCATAAGCCGGATTTGTGCATAAGCCTGTCTCGTGTAGAAGCATGAAATCTGCAACAGCTTTTCGCGTACAAGCCTGTCGCATGCATAAGCCGGGCCAGTACACGAGACGCGCCACGTGTCGCGTGCGTAAGCCGGGCTACTACGCAAGACTGGTGAGCGCGCCTTTTACATGTTCATGTTTGCATGGTACCGTACACTTGCACACGCGGAAAACGTGGGAAGATGCGGAAATCAACACCAGCTGCGCTCGACGGCCATGCAGCACTCTTCAAGCTTCAAACTTACCTTTCCCATGGCATTTTCCGTCTTGTCCCTTGGCAAGTTGCTTGTTTGAAGTTGGAAAATGTTGGTTTTGACGTCCAAAAGTCAGCAGTTTGCGCATACAAGCCTGGTCATTGAGTGGTGCTTGTCATATAAGCCTGTCTCGTGTATAAGCCTGTCTTGTGTACAAGCCTGACTCCATCACCGGCTTATAGGCATATAAGCCCCGGCTAATGCACGCGACATTACGGTAACCAAGAGAGCTAGCTCCCTTGGCTGCTGTTGGAATATGCAAGAATGGGCCTTCCAGATAAGGTCTAGCAAGGAGCAGTGGCTATAGTTATGAAATGAACACCGGTAACCATGGAGACAGACCACACTCTCATTATAGATACTGGTTATAAATAGACCGAATAAGGAAAATGATCTGATAGCCTATGAAGACTAAAAGAAATTGAACCAATGACAACAAATACTCGTCCAGCACACGGGTTGTCATAGCAACACAAATAACAGCTGTCCGCTAATTTTGTTGTTGGAGATTGAGTAGGAGTTTTTACTGGTTGATTCTAAATACAATAAATGCTCCGGCCTTGGGTTTATGACCAATAAAAACTAATTATAAAAACCTCGGGGGACCTCGGTTTTTATAATAGTTTTTATTGGTCATAAACCCTCGGCCTCCTCATTTATTGTATACTTAGAACATCCGAGTACACGAATCCGCGATATTCATGTTAAAACAAAATGGCGTCACGATTTATTGAAAGTGGTATAGTTGGTGGTACGAGTGTTCAAACCCATTTGAACTTCATACTGTTCGTCTTCTTGTTCTCTGGGGGATGCCAAGTGATGGTTTTGAGAGGCTGGTGATGGCTGTGAGCGAGAGTTTGCCGATCGGCGTCGTCCTCGCTATAGCGATGAAAATACTAGTTACTGCGCACCTGGCAGATATCACAACACGTCGGAGCGTCCAGGAGCAAAGGAATCTCGGGTTTTCACTGGAATCTAGTTCCTCCAGCATCGTGTAGCCCACCGTCGGTGAAGGGCGGTCCAGAAAGGTCGAACCTGGTCTTCTGCAGCATCTCGCAGTCCTGCGAGGCACACTGAATACGCCTGTCATGTATTCTACAAATAAAAATCACGAAGCAGTGGACTTTACAGTGATGAGTCTATCCTGTATGCTGCAAAAGACGCAGGAAATGTAACTGGTGTCCGTACACTGGATGCCAATATCATCCCAGTCTTCTCCTGCAGGATCTGTTTGACATTGACATTATGCAGTAGGTCGGCATTGACCTGGTTTGGCAGCTATCGTAATAGTATCTGCCTGGTTGGATGTAGCAGGTTGGTGTTTGCTCGTCGTCCAGTCCGGAATTTTCTTGTAACTCATGGTGGAGTACGCGCAGGGTTTGTGATCATCCCTGTTCACTTCAATATTATCAAACACAACGTTCCCTTTGTCACTGGTTCGTCAATGGCGGTGACCAGGCCGACTGACTAGCTTCGAGACAGCGGCCTCGTTGTCAACCCCGCAGCAGCCTAAAGGTTTTTTCTATTGATCCAGCCTCAGCGCCATGTTGACGATGCCCTAGTGACTGTGTGTCATGGATTGCCTTGCCATCAGCGGTCATTGCCGTCCACCTTGGTGCAGCCCTCAACAACTGGTGTAGGTGAGCACATAACTAGGACTTCCCAGCGCCTATTTGTCCAGGCTGCGATACAATGTGACATGCTGTACTGCACATTCTTTTCAGCACTGCAAGGCCGGCAGCTGGACCGACTGCAGGGGCCGCGCACATGCAGGCCGCCTGTTGCCAGTGCAGCATTCTGGAACGTTCCTTCCTTCTGAGATCCGTGGAATAATAACTTTCTTTGCTTCAAAGCAAGTTGCTTACCTTTCTGTTGTGCTCCCAGTGTCCTTACAACAATAACCTACAGCAATGTTTTATTTTCCTTTCCATTCCCCAACCAATGAATACTACGATGTTGATTCTATTTCTGAATACTTAAGTGTGTGCCCGCGCACGCACGTGTGTGTGTGTGTATACCTCACTCGCCACTCGAAGTTCTGTTCCCCATCACTGGAACACTGCCTGTTCTTTCAGGACCTGCCATCATCTGCGGATGGGCATTCAATGATTGTTTTGTGTGTGTGTGTTTCATTCAGAATCAGATCCGCTATCGTTGCTATAAGAGAAAATCTGTGGGTTCACATCCAGTGCATTTGTAGATTTGCATGCTTTTCTCGCCACTGGTGCATACATGGGACATTGTGTGTGTGTGTGCGTCTGTGTGTATGGGGATATTGTCTGTATCGGCTTTTGGTACTAATGTCCAGGTCTGTGCTTGCATGTGTGAACATGAAATTGTTCGGTTCTGTGCATGCTATTGCTATGTTGTATATTATTGTATGTATGTGTGCATTTCCACGAACAATGTAGATGAGCGTGGAGAGTGCATTCATCCCTCATCAACCACTTCCCCTTGGGCTTACGAGAGTTTTTTCTGCATACCTCTCATTTTTGTTTGTTTCTCTCTGATACTGTATTGATGCCGGTACCTGTACCTCGATGTGTTCCTCTATCTGCAGTCGCCTTTAACCTTCGGTCAAGTTAACGTTTATTGTGCTCTATTTATCGTGCGAATCAAAATAAACAATAATAACACAAGTCGTGCTAGAGTGACGACATGTGCGTGTAGTAGGGTTGATGCGATGGGACATTATAATTAGGTGGAACAGAACACACATTGGGCAGATTGATTGGGCATCATTGATTGTGCTCAGTCTTAACAGTGAACATAATAATTATCTCCAGTGACAGACTGTAGCGGCTAGCCTCCAATAGGTAGCTGGCACTAGTCGCTACTGCTTGTTTGACAGGTGTCGCCAGAACCCCTGTTGTGTCATGCTATAGATGCACATGCCCTATTCTGGGGCATACTGAGGTACTTTGATTTTGTTGACTGTATGTAGACAGCATCCAATAGAGGTTATGCGAAAGGATCACGTGCAGGCGGCTTGCAGGCGGCCAAAGCGGCCGCGCTCCGCAGGGGTGGCAAAAGAGATGAAAAGTTCAAAAGAAGTACATGTGCCTGGAATAATTTCACGAAGGAAATTTCCTGTATCGCTGTTACGTTCCTCTTCTGTTCTTTACAAAGGACTATTGTACGAACGCTGAATCAGTGGCCATGACTTCTCCGAAGTTTTCAAAAGTGTATGACGAGTTAGATGACTCCAGCAAATGCCGGTACCGTGAAAAGCTCGAGCGCGTTGCACCAGCCTGAGACTCGAGTGATCCTTACCTGCCCAGAAGTATTTTTTTAGAGGAAGATAAATGTCCACTTGTGGACTATCCCGATATTTACAATTTCTTGGTCAACGCGCCCAGCCCCTACACCAAAGAGCAGCTCAAGGCCTACAAGAGCTTGGAAGGCTACAAATACCTTGTCAGTGGCTGGGTCGGCGATGTTCGTGCATTTCCAGCGTCCGAATCTGACACATGTGACAGCAAGTTTGTCATCGCCAAAGTCCGCCATTCCCAGTCAGTTTCCGGCACCCATCTGCAACCCTGGATTGCTGCGCAAAACGACGGTAGCGTGATTTGTGCAAACTGCACCTGCATGGCTGGTCTTGGTGAGTCTTGTTCTCACGTTGCTGCACTGTTGTTCAGCCTGTATTCTAGAACGCAGCTGATTTAGAACACAGGAAGCACTTCATTGCCGTGCCAATGGTCAACTCCTTCAATGAAGGAGGTGGAGTATGCCAGGATTCGTGACATAAACTTCACTGCACCCGACACTAAACAGCATGGGAGCAAGCGCCGTAGGTCGGAGGAGAAGGTCCCTGCTGATATTAAGCAACCCTCCAGTGCTGAGCTGGGTGAACTCTATGGAAATTTATGTCAAGCCGGTAAACCGTCATTACTCTCCCTTGTTCCCGGGTTCTGCGATAGGTACGTACCTTCCAAGCCCGAGGGATATCCACCCATTTTGGATTTATTGTACGAACCAGACATGCTGGATGCTAGTTTTGGGGACCTGCTCGTTCGTTGCGAGGCAGTATTTCCAGCGGTCTGTGTTTCAGAGGAGGAAGCACGCGCTGTGGAACAGGCTACGCGGAACCAGGCAGATTCCACGGCCTGGTTTGAATTTCGCGCCGGCCGGATCACAGCTTCAAAGTTGAAGTCTGCTGTTCGCACGGATATTAGCCAGCCCTCTGCGTCCTTAGTCCGCTCTGTGTGTTACCCTGAGGCACACAAGTTTCGTAGCAAAGCCACACAATGGGGATGTGATCACGAGCAGAAGGCAATTGACAACTATAGTGAACATGCCAGTGCAACACATCAGAAGGTTGAAGTACTGCCCAGTGGCTTTGTAATTCATCCGGACTATCCATATCTTGGCGCTACTCCCGACTCCCTTGTGCAGTGCTCCTGCTGTGGCAACGGCGTGGTGTTAGTGAAGTGCCCGTACGGGTGCCGAGACAGTAGCCTGCATGATGCTGCCGTTACCTTTCTAGTATTTCTTTGCTTGCATGTGTCTCTGAAGGACCACAATGCTGATTCGTATTTGTGGGTCCCAGGACATGCGTGAAGACCACTCACTGCTTATGCATGTGAGCAGAGGAACTCCATCATTACACATCAAACACTTCGCTCTTTTACGTCTCTTCCTGGTGATGTTGGCATAAGTTGAGTTGTTCTTTGGTGCTGGGCATACTACATCTTATGGTACATCGCGCACTACCCAGCACCCTAAGTTGGGTTTCAGGGCTATTCATAATTATTATATTTTGTGTTGTCCCTATTTGGACCACGAGTCATTATATTGATGCAACAAGAAACGGAGGCATGTCGTGAGTGATGATAGAAGCCATTATTATTACTATTATTATAAGTCTGTTGGCGTTGCCATGACCAAGCAAGCTTGGCTAGCCAGACAAAATAAACTAGAAACAAGCGAGGTCAATGAGGTGAACACATGCGCATGCAACTGCAGAATAGGTAAAACAGAAATATAATTGCCGGTATATCCAGACAGTCCTAAAAACACACGACATGTCAACTATTTGCTTCAACAGATATAACTGGAAACGGATGAATATTCATTGGTTTGAGGGAAAAGATGCAAACGGGAAAAGTTTGAAGAAAAAATTGACTGTCACCACCAGGACTTGAACCAGGGACCTTCGCTTGAGGCCAGGGAATATAGATAAATAGAAAAATTGACTGTCACCACTAGGACTCGAACCAGGGACCCTCGCTTGAGGCCAGCGATGCTCTAACCACTGAGCTAACTTATGGGGTAGCTGTCATCCCAGCAGAGGATGAATATAGATATGAATAAATAAATAAATTGACTGTGACCATCAGGACTCGAACCGGCAGGGACCTTGCCTTCAGGTCAGCGATGCTCTAACCACTGAGCTATGGTGTAGCTGTTATCCCAGCAGAGGATGAATATAGATATGAATAAATAGTTGATAAATATGGTGGTAAAGACACACCTGGCAATATGGCGGTAAACCCACGCCTGCCCACACACGCTCTCTAGGCTGCCAAGTTCTGGCAAAGAGCTCTCCGTCTCACCACCACCACCATCAATTCGCGCGCCTGGCGCCTAGTCGACGCAGGGTTAGCGGTATCCGACATAGCAGGCTGGTACATCAAGTAGCGCATGGCACATAGAAGATGACACAGCAGCGACATAGCTCGATTGCGACGTACGTCTTATCCCCGCTGGACTCATCAGGCAATCTTCTTCTTGGATGTCTTCATACGGAGTTTGACTCGGGAGAATCAATAGAATAAATAGTAATAATAATATATTAATAATTGAAAATTCAAGGGTAATAATAATATTCACTGGTTTGAGGGAAAGGGTTAATAATAAATACTACAGTATGAACAATAATAATACGAAGTCTGAAGAAAACGTTGAACGGTCTCTGCTTGGATGACGACTACACCATAGCTCAGTGGTTAGAGCATTGCTGGCTACAAGCGAGGGTCCCTGGTTCGAGTCCTGGTGGTGACAGTCAATTTTTTCTTCAGACTTTTCCGGTTGTCTCTTTCCCTCAAAACCAGTCAATAATAATAATAATAATATAGCAATCATCACAGCTGACAAAGCGGCATGATGTAATTTACTCGAAAGGTACGTCGGACTCAGAACAGTTGCACAGAGCACAGCAGACGGTGACAACCTTGTCAATGAATGCACATGATGTAGCTTTATCGTCATGCATGAGGAAAGCAATGGGCAAAGTGCCAGAGAGGATTGTGTATTTCTGGCGAAGCATTCCAATCACTCGCTCCACATGGATACGGACGCGTGACACTTGTCGAGCACTGTCCAATTTCAGCCTGGAGAGTTGCTTCTTCCCCTTCGTTTCCTTTCCGGCCATTTGACAAGTGGTCCCAGCATCACATGCATCACCCGGATCCAGCGCTGGAAAATCCGGCACACGGTCGACTGGTGAATGCCGTATCTGTACGCCAAGTCTTGGTCCCGACAATTCAGCCGAAGCTTCATGAGAACAATCAAGAACTGCTGGAAGAGAGAGAGCGTGTGGCGATGGTGCTGTGGAACTCTCTTCCTCACGTGTTCAAATATGCCCATCATGGTCCCAAAAGACTGCAAACCAGTGTAGAAGAGCACCTTCGCGTTGTCTTTCTCAAACGACTCGATTGACAAGGTGTCACCTTGTCCTGGAGCGTGTGGCATCCGTTTGCTTTCCAGGACCAAACGGTTGTTTGTCTCCTCCAGCCGCGTCAAGTGCTCCATATCCATGTCAGTCTGCGATGAGACACTGGAGACTGCTACAGGATCAGACTCTACCTCTGCACCAGGCAAATCTGCCATTGCCTCTGTGAAGTCATTCCCGGAGGCGTCCACTTTCACTGGTGTCTGCGTCTTGCTCTCCTCGAACGTCAGCTTCCGCTTCGCTCGCCGTTCATATGCCACCAAATCCCTCTCCGCTTTACGCTTTACAGGAGTCCTGACATGTTCAAAAAGTTTCGGAACGTAAGCGGGAGATAGTGGATCGTTGCTCTTCTCTGCGCCTACGAAATGGTCTGAACAGATCCTGCTACTGTCGGTTGGCTTCCAATTCTCTCGTCTCATAGCCGCAACCCATAGTTTGCGCCGCTCGTCCGCTACAGGAAACTTGTAAAACTTCACAGCCGTTCCAGGATCGGCACGATTGCTACATCCGACGGCTGCACAACTCTTCGGCATGTTGAAGGCTAAAAACTTCAGCAAGCGAGACACCAGCGGAAATCAAAATAAAAGCGAGGAACGATATGTCGACAACCAACAACAAATTTTACTTTTCCTCTCAAAGACTAGTAAAAAAATAGTTCAAGCAGAAACGACTTCATTTTGCCACCCCTGCCACTCGCAGCCGCCTTGGCGCTCCTCGTGACGTCATTCGCATAACCTCTATAGTAGTACTCGTAGACCTTGGCTCTTTGTAGGTCAACCACCATCGCATGGATCGATCGGTGACTATGCACTTGGAGGTTGGAATAGCCCGCGCTGAACAGATCTTGCCATGGCCCAGGGAGTGAACTCGCTTACTCGACTATCCCGGTTTTAGTTAACCAGCATGAGTGGTGCAATTTGTCCATACCATGTTGCGAGCTCACAGTTGTTTGGGCAGGTTTTGAGCTGCACCACGAAACAAAGCGAAATAACGGCGTGACTGTAGAGCAAGGAAGCGGCGAGACGGCACTTCCAGGACGAGACAGGCAGAAGAGATGTGTTCACAGCACGAGCAACCTCTCAAACCCTGCCGGTACTCCACAGTTACAAGAAAATGTCGGACTGGACGACGCGCCAATGCAAACCTGCTACATCCAACCAGGCAGATAGCTGCCAAACCAGGCCAATGTCAATCTACTGCATACCGGTATGTCAATGTCAAACAGATCCTGCAGGAGAAGACTGGGATGATATTGGCATCCAGTGTACGGACACCAGTTACATTTCCTGCGTCTTTTGCAGCATACAGGATAGACTCATCACTGTAAAGTCCACTACTTCGTGATTTTTATTTGTAGAATACATGACAGGCGTATTCAGTGTGCCTCGCAGGACTGCGAGATGCTGCAGAAGACCAGGTTCGACCTTTCTGGACCGCCCTTCACCGACGGTGGGCTACACGATGCTGGAGGAACTAGATTCCAGTGAAAACCCGAGATTCCTTTGCTCCTGGACGCTCCGACGTGTTGTGATATCTGCCAGGTGCGCAGTAACTAGTATTTTCATCGCTATAACGAGGACGACGCCGATCGGCAAACTCTCGCTCACAGCCATCACCAGCCTCTCAAAACCATCACTTGGCATCCCCCAGAGGTATAGGAGAAAGCCAAAACAGCTCTCAACAAACAAAAGCTAAGGACGATGGAAAGAGAGCATGTCAACAAGAAGACGAACAGTATGAAGTTCAAATGGGTTTGAACACTCGTACCACCAACTATACCACTTTCAATAAATCGTGACGCCATTTTGTTTTAACACGCATACGGTCCATTATCTAGAAATGTTTGATCCACCGCGCTCCTATCCTTGCCTACTGCGTCAAAGTCATGCCCACATTTTTCACTTTTACTAGTTTTAGATCTGAAAACGGACACAGTTTAGGCTCTAAGAACTTGTTGATAGTTTTCAGTTTCACTAGTATACTTTACCGTCAGGTGAAACACAGGCAAAGTGAAACGAACAAGGACAGCGAAGTAAGTAGAGCAGCCCAAGACGATTTGTATAGTCTAGTATCCATACTGGGCGACGTTACAAAAAGTACAGTGGAGAATTGGAAACAGCGGAAGGAAGAAGAGCTAAAACTAACAACGAAGAATGAGTGTCACATACACTTTGTTTTACAGACAACTCAGTCATGCGCTAATGCAGGTCAACGCACAAAACTGATAATTCTAAGAAACGTACCTGACAGACCTGGAAAGCGCTGAAAGATCTTCGGCGAGAGAAATTATCACACCCAACGACAAGCTGCTAACATTGCAAAAACAAACTAAACAAACTGTCAGGACTACTCGTAAGTATTTATACAATCATGAATCAAATCCGTTGATCCCCGAGCTGCAGAGAGCGCTCAATGTCAGAGACAGAGTAACAGTTTCAGACTCAGCGGAGGACGTTCAGGTTGGTTGTAACTCTGAGTTTCATGCTGTTAGGCAATCATCAGACAACGGGCCAAGGCACGACTAGCCCTTGCAGCTTGGCGGATTATGCCAGCATAATATTTGGCATAATCTTGGGATTTCGTCAAAAAATTATGCTCCGGCATATTATACGGATTCCAACGTGTAGGTCGGCATAATCTTTCGGTTTAGACAAAAATTATGCTTAGGGGCATAATACAGCTTTGTCAGAAAGCCTGCAGATGTTTTTTTTTTAATACCCCAGTTACGACTCCTTGTCATATCTGCCGCGCGACAGTAGAAGTGCCAGGACTCAGGAGGGTGGCGGGCGCCGGCAACAGGCAGGTGTGAGCATGAAAGCGCGGAAAGAGGCGATGGGGAGGCAGTGTACAGCAGATGGGTGGAGATGCCAGGAGGCCGAGGATGGCGGGCCAGTGAGGATTACAAGTAGGGAGTCGTTTGGTGACCATGGTGACGGGCAGGCGTGAGCAGAGTGGCATCGCCAACAACAGGCCAAGGTGTTATTTTAAAATAATAATGGGTGCTCAGGCAAAGTGCAGTACAGTACTAAGTAACTTGGTCAGTTCATTTGATAGGTGTGAAATTTGCGAGGCGGAACTTATTCTCATGCCTGCATTTCGAGACCATCTCAGACCGCTTGTTGAGTAGGAGCTTCTTGGGTGTAGTCAGGATGTGGAATTTTTCCGCGGTACATACGAGTAGATTGCATTTTTTTACTCACATCTGTATGATCGGCTCTTCTCCTGCACCTTCCATGTAATGGTCAACGGCTTTCCCTCGCTCTTCAGCTCCCATACGTGTTTTGCGAGCTCAGTGCTGTTTTTGTATTTTTCATGACGCATGGAGCTCCGGAGGTCAGGTGGTTGGCGTGACGTACGGGCTTTGAAAGGTGTCTCTGATAGGCCGATGTAAATCTTGCTGGCACAGTGCCAGTGGTAGATTCTGCAGTAATCATGAATCATGTAGCACTTGTACTGTGGACGTGGACATCTGGACGCCGCATGCAGCTCGCTGGTCGCATCGGCCGCGGATCAATGACTTACGTGACGTGGAAAATATCAACAAAGAATGGATCAACAAGACTAGAGCCTCCCGGGCCGGGAGTCCGGGCCGGCCACGCTGGCGGTTTCAGAGGCAGCTATTGCTCTTTGGTAAATTTATATTATTTTTAGGGCTTTGTTATGTCATCGTACTTGTGCAGGCGTTGTGGCCGGATTCCTGAAAAAAACTCTACAAACAAAATTACGTGACGTGAGGTTGTGCACTGCTTCTGGTGTCGTTCTGTATGCGCTGAGTGAGGGCGCGGGCCCGGTCAATCGAGTAGATTACCCCCCCCCCCCCGCGACATGTCGACAGCGGAGGTTCCGCTCGCATTTTTTTTGGCGTAACGAAATCCAAACCTTCCGCCAAAAAAAGTGCATGTGTGACCGCGGCCTTGGTAGCAGCCAACCATTAGATTGCGGGTTCAACACCTATGGCCATGGTTCAGATGGTCCCAACGGACCGGGGCTCTAGCTCTGCCACACTGCCAACCGTTGATGGTTGTAGTAAGGTCACTGTTTCCGAACACAGTGTCCTCCACCTTGTTTCATGCTACTGTCAAACTAACAACAGGTACTTCAGTACGGTACGTGTAGTATGACATAAGCTTACTCAAAGAACTTTATTGAAAATCCATGATAATGATAATGATAATGTGACCGGAAAGATGATTGAAGAAAAATCAGTACATGTACCGCTAGAAGTAGGGTAAGTCTTGTACGCTAAAGGATTTCAAGGCCAACATGAAGCTCGTGTTCTAATAACTGCTAGTTCTTCATCCACATTTGTTTCTCTTTGCCTGCAGTAATGTGTAATATTTATTTATTTTTGCTTTGTTTTTGTTTACTGCCATGGCTGGCTACCGCCCCCCCCCCCCCCCTCCCTCCATATTGGCCTATATTCTCTGGCCACGGGAAGGTGAAATAAATAAATAAATAAATAAAACCTGGTACGTAACCTGGTGGGGAGAGCAAAGCGGCTCTGCTCTGAAACGAAGCTCAACGACGAGCTGGAATTTCTCAGATCAATATTCCTTAAGAATGGATACCCACATGACTTATTGAACAAAATACTGAAGCAAGAATCTAATAACAAAGATACATTCACAGGTCCTCGGAAGTGTCCTATCTACTTATGCCTGCCTTGGAAAGGCAACGCGTCTGTCAGCATGTCCAGAGCTATCAAGACCCTAGTCAATAAAACATACTTTGCTGCCCACTTCATCCCCGTGTTCACCACGGTACGTGCGTTCATGGTGAGGAAGGATGTCCTACCTCCCCAGCTTTCAAGCCATTTGGTTTATCTCTTTGAGTGCCGGAATTGTGCTGCCCGGTACGTTGGTAGGACTCTTCAACACCTGAACGCACGTATCAGACAACATGTGCCGTTGCACTTATTACCACCAGCAGCCAGAGCAAAGAGGCCAAAGCGTGGTAGGCCGTGTAAGAACCCAGTTAGCTCAGTAGACAAACACGCTGTGCCGACAGCGCCGCCTGTTCCCGTGCCACCACCGGCCCCACCACCTGGGGTGCCGTGGGTGGCTGGGGCTGGGGTGGGTTTGCCATCATTGACCTGGCCACCACTTCTTGACCCACTGCAAACGGCAGCGGAGCCTACTCTAGCACAACATCATCGTCCTGGAATGGAGGAGGGTCCACCGAGAGACACTGAACCTTCACCTCGGCAGTTGCCCTTGCCTCCGCCTGAGCCACCCCATTTACCTTTGGTGACTACCGAGACGGTGGTCCCCCCGGTGCTGGGATCCACGGTGCCGACTGTGTCTGGACAGAGAGGGAGATCATCGACAAACCAAAATGAAACCAATATCCTCACCCATAGACCCAGAAGAAGCACAGCAAACTATTCACTTGAAATTTATGCACGGAATGGACTTGGCCCACGCAAAATGGACAGTGGAAATGGGTGTGCAGTAGCAGAGAACCCAGCAACGGTGACGCGGAGCAGCGGTCAAACGACTTGTGATGCTGGTGGAGATGATGGAGCCATGTTGGAGGCTGATAAGGAGTGCAGTGAGACTGAGCATCAAACGGATGATGAGGAAGTGACTGATGATGATGATGATGGTGGTGATGAGGACGATGATGATGAAGATGAGACGGAGGACGAGGATAAGGCGGAGGAGGTCGAAGGAAAGGAGCGGGATGAGACGGAAGAGAGCGACGTGAGCAAAAAGTCAGCTGTATTTTGTCACTTGTTATCACGTCCAGATTGTCTTGGTGTGTACGATGATTCTCACTTTTCTGTTTTGTGCCGTGCAAGTTATGTTAAGCATTTGAAGGTTCTGGAAGCTGTATGTATTCGTGTGCATAATCCTGTTCTTTGTAAACAAAAGAAGCATGTAGTCGCGCTAAAGTTGTTCTCGTAGCTGGTTATCAGATGTAAATGTTGTGTCATGTTGCACTGTATCACCTCTTGCTTTGTGGCTGCACTCAGTTATATACGTTAGCACTATGTTTGACACCTATTATGTAATGCTGTAGCACTTCCTTTGTTGTTCACACTTTTAATTAATTATGCTGTTATAAAATGTTCTATTGTTGTACACAGTACCCTCAGTTCCGATACTATTCACTGATGAGCAGAACACGAAAATCGATTTTAAATAACATAAAAATCCTTAAAAATTCCATGAACTCGTTGTTGTCTGGCCATGTCTGCATCGATTATACTCCTAATTGCACTAATAAAATTGCTTTCTCTACGCCGACTCTTTAAATAAATAAAAGTGTAGTATTAATAGTACTAGTACTGTAGTAGTATGACATAAGCAAGTACCGTTAGAAGTAGGGTAAGTGAAGTATGACATAACGTCACATAAGCAAGTACAGTACCGATCCAAACTATCCTTCTCGTTGGTGCGTTCAGCTAACGCCAGCCTCCGAGGCCACCGTACCGTGGTCAATGTTTCTTTTTCTAATGTGCCTCCCTTTCTTTTTCTCTCCCTATAATGTGCCTCCCTTTCTTTTTCTCTCCCTATCTCCTTTCCCTCTCTGACAGCATCTTTCTTTTTTTTCCCTTTTAGCTTGCCGTGGTTGGCTATCACCTGACCTCTCATGTTTATTGGCAGTCTTCGGACGGGCCAGGAGATGTTGAATAAATAAATAAATAAATAAATAAATCTGTTGATCAACGTGCTCGTGACGAAACAAGTAGTACAACTTACTAGCCTGTTTGACCTTTTTTGGGTGCAGTCCTGTCACTCGAGTTGAACCTTGGTGTGAAAGTTGTCGCCTGCTGGCGTGGTGACCGGGTGATTTGGGCACCCAGGAGCACGTGACCGCTTGTTCAACCATGTTCGATTGGGAATAAAGGAGGAACGCTGCATCGCATCCTTTTCGGACCAAAACCAGTCGACTCAGCGTCCAAAAGACTACAACATATGGGCCAATCGCGGTCATCCGTGCTTTTATAAGAACGAAATGGCGCTTTTAGTGACATTTTGCATACAAATCCCCATCTAGTAGGGCGCAGTCACCCAGTTTCGGTGGAAGTGCGCGAGTTCGATTGGGATTCAAGTAGGAAGGGAGCGTCTCAGCTTCCTCGGACCACGACCATTCGACTCAGCACCCCGAAGACTACAACTGGTGAAATTTTAATTTTTGCCTTAACTTCCCCTTTAATCATAGCCGCCACAGCAGGACATCCGTCAGGCATGCGCAGTATATGACCAAAGAGTCTCCATCTGGCTAGGCGAACAAAGTTAGTTATTGGTTGTGCTTTGCACCTCTTGTAGAGAGCAGCATAGCTTATTGTTTGTGGCCACCTAATACCGAT